TCACCGCTAAGTGGTAGAGTAGCGGCGTATTAAGCCGAAGATCGTGGGTTCGAATCCCGCTCGTGACACTGCCTTTTTATCTCAACTAAAAACCATAATTAATTGAAATATATTAATTGGTCAAGCGGACCACTAAAACTAGTGAATTTATTTATAATGTTCTGTTGGTTTTTATCAGGGATGAGGTCAAATAAAATATTTCTAATTTCAAATTAAAAATATTTTCTTTTACCATTTCCCTGATAACAACCAAGAGAACATTATTTAGATATATTATCCTCGTAAGGGCCTTACGTACCTAGGCATCGAGTAAATAATGGGTGACAACTGTAGCTACAAACGGTCGGTCATTATCATGCATTAACACGAATTTGTCCCAAATAAATGGAGCGAATGGTACCACAGTTACCAGAAGAACTTTCTTAATGTTTCTTAGTACAAAGAAAGATATATTCTGTATGCTAATCAAGTTCGCTGTAGTCATGGCGTTGATTCCACCCCATAGCATAATTGACTGTCTTTGAAAAGACTGTGGCTCACGCATGACAAATAAAGTAAACTGCTGATTGCCACAAACCAAACGGGCACTCAATTATGAAGAGAATAGCACCACGATTGTTCAAGTGGCCAAGCGAGATGCTGATTTGCGAATAGTCGCCTTTCTACTCGATGCCTCTCCAGTAGTAGAGAGCCTGATGCGAGACGTCTAGAGACTAGGCTGCTGTCACGAAGCATTCTGATACTGTTCTAGAGTTCACCCTTACATTCTGGACCGTTTGGAGTTGACTACCGATTAAGGAAATGACGGTTCCGTTGTGAGGTAAGAGCAATAAAACGATCGTCCAAAGCCACCGACATCTTGGTCCATCATTACCTTCCTTTCGATCGAAGGAATTCGATCCTGTCGGACGTCCATCGTTGGCCACAGATCTGCCCGGGTGAAATCTTCTCGACTTAAAAGGAAAACCAATTAATAATATTTTCCATTCAAATTGTTTCATCAAAGAAACCAATGTAAAAATCCAATTAACTCACTCGACAAATTGTCTGTGGAAAGGTTGAAAATTAACTGATTTTAATCTAAACAGTCTAAAAGGATTAGTAACACTTAATAAAGGATAAACAACAAGTTATTTATGTTGTCTTTTCGTTTTAGATCAAACTGTAAATCTTTATAACTAGTTATTATAGAAAACAAACAAACAAATACAAGTGTCCGGGTTTTGTCTTTGACTGTATTATTGATACTCATAATATTATTATTATTTTCTGGTATGTCGCGTTGATTGGGTCATTTAATTATTTAATCGCACACTATCTGGAAATTCTTCAACAAATATTCTACTAACCTTCGACTGCCTTCTGCCTGGCTGACCGAATTTATGATTAATAAGGCTACGGTTACTATAAATGCGAATTCTGACGAAATTTTCTTCTGACGAGTTCGTCCGAATAAGTACTTGTTTTCGAATGAGAGTGTTTACTTTGGCAGCGAAGTACATGTCAGAACGTGCACGATATCGTCAGAACCAATCGAGCGTTCAAACCAGTTTGATTTTTTCATTTTGACGTTCAATTTGTACAGTTTTGGTATTTCACCATGGATATAAATAAACTGATTAGTCTTGTTTTTGAGAATCGTCGTTTGTGGGACATGAACGACAAAAATTTAACAACGGAGATATGTCTCGGCCAAAGTGGGAGAAAGTCTCTCAAGAAATCAACACTAGCAATAAGCCGTATTTGGTTAGTGGTCATAATTAACCATATTAATTATTCTAATGAATAATTCTTTTTATCTAAGGTTTTTGGTTGAGACGAAAAATTAGTGTCACGAGCGGGAATCGAACCCACAACGCTGCTCATATACGCCGCTGCTCTAACCACTTAAGCTATCGTGACTTCGATCCCCTCGGACAACAACTCATCTCAACCTACAACCGTCGTGCAGGTATCGTAACGAAATGATGAATGCATTGGCGAAGGAGGCCAATGTATCTGGTGTATCACATCATTTGAAAATTCCTAAAACAGACGGTAAATTTTTTTTTCAATTAATTGTGTTCCAATCTATGGGATAAAGAATACAGCTCAGCAACAGCTGGCGAGTACTATCGAGCTTTTTTCTGACAGCTTAAAGCCAAACCGTGGTTTTCAGAAAAGGGCAGGCAAAAGGAATTCTATTCAATTATTTTCAGAATGGAAACTAACCACGGCCTGTGGGGGAGTTATATGCATAGAATTGGAATAAACATTTCCCCTAACTGCCCAATATGCGACAGTCCATCAAATTTCAGTCATACTAGAATGCTCAGAGTATGATAACTCAGAGGAAACAATTATTGGATGATTTGTACAGTGACCCCCGTATATTTGGCCCAATATACTACTTGAAACGCTATTGGAAAGTAACAACATGATGGTTTTGGATTTAATTTACAAATTTCTTAAATCAATTAACATGCCGTTCTGAGGTCCGGGAAAAAAACATACTAAAATAATGAAGATAATATTTTTTTAAAAATCTTATGGCAATATTTCCAAAGGAAAAAGTCAAGGAAAAACTTACAACCGTTCGAATTTTCCCTCTTTTGGCCATTTTTTAAATTTCATTTTAATTAATATGGTCAATTATGACCGCTAAACACACATGGATTAATATGCGTTTGTTTAAGGGTCTAGCTATAATTTTGAAAGACTAAAAACATCTATAAATGTAAATTCAATCAAAAATTTATATTTAGGGGTCTCTAGAGAGAGTAAAACGAAATTTTATATTATTTTCACGAAAAAAATTTGACCTAGCTACTTCAAAAATATTTAGTTTTTAGACAATTTTATTGATAAACTTGGTTATTGGTAAATTTTGATAGCTTTTAGTATATTTTTATTGCAATCTACATAAAACCTTGTGTAAAATGATAGGTTCACATAGTTGATTCGAGTAAGCAGAACGGCGAAATAAAAATATTAGAATATGGTCAATTTCACACATAGATTAATATGCATTTTTTTTAAGGGTCTATCAATAATTATTCAGAAATCGTGAGATGCGGTCTGGTATGATGTAGGTTTCAGAAAATAATTTTCTTTATCGTGCCAACGCTTCGATCTTCATTGAGATCATCTTCAGGGCTCAAAGTGTTTTTCTTCTGTGTAATTGTGCCATTCTTGCGTGTCGTGTTGAGAGTGCCCCTGAACATGATCTGAACATGAGCACTCTCGAAACGACACGCAAGAATGGCACAATTACTCAGTAGAAAAACACTTTGAGCTCTGAAGATGATCTCAATAAAGATCGAAACGTTGGCACGATAAAGAAAATGTTTTTCGGAAACCTACATCACACCAGACCGCATCTCACGATTTCTGTGAATAATCATAAAGACGGTCACTAACCACCACACACTATCAATAATTTTGAAACTCTAAAAAAATTATAAATGTAAATTCTAACAAAATATTATATTTAGGGGTAGTAAAACGAAATTTCATATTATTTTCACGAAAAAAATATGACCTAGTTACTTGAAAAATATTTAGTTTTTTGAAATTATTATTGATAAACTTGGTAAATTTTGATAGCTTTTAGTATATTTTTATTGCAACCTACACAAAACCTGTAAAATGATAGGTTCACATAGTTGATTTAATATTAAAAAAAAGGAAAATTTCAACTTTGAAAAAAAAAATTGGCGAAACTAGGGCCTATTCACAAGAAGTGGCGTATTTGTGTCCGACATTTGGGAGTACGGAATCTCCCAAAAATGTTTAATCTAAATCCGTGACGCACCGCCTGGTTGTTCCCTTGTTATTGTCTTTTAAGTATCGTCCATCCAGTTCTATCCTTTTTTTAGTCGAGTATGGGGATTCCAGGTGAGTCGTGTATGTAGATACAGCCCTAGCAGTGGATTTAGATTATTTGAAGCTCATGAGATGCTGTCTGGTGTGAGTAGGTTTTAGAAAAACATTTTCTTTATCGTGCCAACGTTTCGATCTTTATTGAGATCATCTTCAGGGCTCTAATTGTTTGTTTTCTGTGTAAATGTGTCCATTTTTGGGTGTCGTGTTGAGAGTAGTGGATCACGTTTTCGGTTGTAAGGGGATGAGGTTACGTTTTGGTAATTTGTGGCGTTTAGTTTCATTCGCCATTTTTTGTACCGTTGTTCAATGAAATATTGGTGTGTCTTGAGGATTCGATTTTTGGAGGTCAGAGTTAAAGGATAGAATGGCAGGGTCATCAGCGATAGTGGTGTCTGGCTGCAAAGGGATATCAGCAATATATTCAGAGTACATCGGTCGAGGTCACCACCCAGCGGGACACCCCCGTCCACCCAGTACGAATGTGTTTTAGCATTGATCACAAAGTATATATCTTGTTTTCATTAGTAGTCATATATATTTTTAATAGATAATGAGTTTGGAATCAGGTTTTTTCATATAACAAAAATTCGTATTATTGAAATTCAGTATTCTTATTATTTTTCAGTTAATTAAGTTTTTTAGTTGAGATAAGAAAATCAGTGTCACGAGCGGGATTCGAACCCACGATCTTCGGCTAAATACACCGCTACTCTACCACTTGAGCTATCGTGACTTCAAGTGGTCGAGCAGCCGCATATCTAGCCAAAGGTCGTGGGTTCGAATCCCGCTCGTGCCATTGACTTTTTTATCTCAACTAAAAACGTTAATTAATTTAAAGATATTAATTGGTCAAGCGGACCACGAAAACTAGTGAATTGTTGAATAACATATTGATAATTAATTCATCATAATAAATTGTATTTATTGGAATTTTTAAGCCCTTAGCATGGAACTCATTAATTTAACGATATTGTCCGTGTTTTATTAGTAAACTTTATTTAATAATTAACCACAATTAAATACAAAAAGGAAGCTTTCATTCTTATTTTAATTAACGCTATATTGCCCAAAAGAGTCGTGACGAACGATTTTAATTTGATAAAATTGTTAAGACAGATTTTTCTCTTGTGTTTCAGAATTTAACCCAGCTGGACGTAAGTGAAAACAGCATCGAATGCCTAGATTTGACAGCCCTCGATAAACTTCAGTCAGTGCAATGCTCGAAAAACAAGTTACAAGATTTGTCCCTAAATGGCACTTCGCTCACGTCTCTCATAGCAGGAAACAATTGTAACCCTCGATATATTTCCATTGAAAAGACAACTTTTAAGTTTATTTTTACCTCTGGTTTTCAGGTTTGACGAAGCTGTCGATATACCCAAAGCCGACCAAGTTGAAACATCTCGATATATCATAGTGAGTTTTAGTTTTATTAATTATATTAACGAGAAATTACATAACTTCATAGTGGGAAAGTGAACCGAAAAGTTTCAAGGGGAAAGTCAATCTTTTCTTCAACAGAGGCCCGTAATGAGTATGGGAATCGTTGAAAAATAAAAACATATTATTTTTCATAACAGAGGCACATAATGAGGGTGGGAATCGTTGAAAAATAAAAATAAAATCGTATTATTTTTCTCAGCAACAGACTAGAAACCCTCCCGGACTGGCTGGGGTCGTGCCAGCACCTGAGAACCTTATTTGCAAGTCACAACCTTCTCACCTCCCTTCCGGATCACCTATTCTGCTCGGAGCTTTCGTGTTTGCAGACCCTGCAGCTCAGTTTCAACAGCCTCAAATCCCTTCCGCAAGTGATTCGCCACATCCCGCTGCAACAGCTCTTTTTGCAGAGCAACATGCTAAAGGAATTACCAGAACACTTTTTCTTAGCGACTGCCAGGTAAAGAGTTCTCGTCTGTACTGTCTTTAATCAATAAAATTTAAAATAGGACATATTTTACATTAACATTATTTTAATTATTATATTCAACACTCAGCAGACTTTAAGTTGACAAAAGTGGAAACTTCAAAATTATTTTAACTTTCAGATTAAGGATACTAAACTTGAGCAAGAACCAATTGGGAGAGTTACCAACAGCCATAGGAGACGGCCACCAGCTAGAAAGACTTTACCTCACGTGCAACCAACTCACTGATATTCACATCTTGACGAAATTCACGAACCTGAGGGTACTTCATGTCGCTTACAACTTGATCACGCAATTGCCAAATTTGTGCGTCGGGTCGTGGCCGGACATGGAAGAGCTCGTGTTGTCTGGGAATAGGATCGACAGGCTGCCGGGAAACATAGCGCAATGGCAGCATCTGAGAGTCCTTCGGCTTCATTGCAACATCCTGCTGGCGTGTCCTAGCCTGGCACCTTCCACGTCGTTAAAAGTCCTGGACTTGTCGCACAACAATCTGGACAAAGTGGACTTGATGTCTCTCGTGCCAAAGCAGCTACAATTTCTCGACCTGTCCGGAAACACCAGGCTTCAAGTCGATCCGCGCCAGTTTCAAGATTACAAGTACATTAGAGAAGAGCGTTAGCATTAGCACAGAAAATAACTTAATGGTCCGATTTTCAGATCGATGAGAAAAGTAAGCCTGGTAGATGTGTCAGGCCAGAATCGCGACTCTCTGCCTGCTGGGCCCAACGACCCTAAGCCCGATCAAGAACCTTCCAACAGTCCTTGGGTCTTAGGTTTCTCAGAAACGCCTGGAAACAGAGAAAAGTATTATTTAAAAGTCCATTTCTCAGTTTTTCTCAGTTAGTTAAAATTAACTTTTTCCCCTAGGTTGTGCATTTCTCAACTGAGACTTACGAACTTCTGCAACACGGAAGCCCTCCTCGGCTTGTTCGACTCCGGGAATAATACAGAACTTCCTCAAATCTTGGCGCAATCCATTCCGAGGATTCTGTTGGAAGAGAGGACTGTTAAAGAAACGGCGAATGAATACATGAAATACACACTTTTAGCAGCGCACAGGTGACAAATTACGAGCAGTACAGCAAACCCTTTATCATCGTTCTCACCCTTCTTTCCTCTTTCATAATAAATAATATATCTGTAATATCAACTGTCGTCAAATGTCCAGTAAAAGTCAACATTAAAATCTCTATTAAGAAAAAAATTAAAACCGATTCGCGCACAAAATAAATCACAAAAATAATATCTACAAAATCACGTAGGAGTTTAAAAAAACTGTATACATATTTGGATTATTAAACTTACAAGGAGAGGACCAAGTTGGTGTGTCACGGATTTGGACAAAACTTTTTTTTGGGGGTTCTACGCTCCAAAAGATCGCACAATTCTTGTGAATAGGCCCTGGTTTCGCTAAAAAAAATTTTTGAAAAACGAAATTTTTCGTTTTATAATATGTTTATTTCGTCGTTCTACTTACTCAAATCGATCCCAATAAAAATATAGCGAAACCTATCAAAGTTTATCAATAATCAAAAGATTTCTAAAAGCCAGATATTTTGCAATTAAACTAAGTCATTAAAAAAACATTTCTGTGAAACTAATATAAAATTTTGTTTTAGCACCTCTAGACACTCTTAAATATCAACTTTTCTTTCAATTTAAATTTACCAATTTTTTAACCCCTAAAATTTTTTCAATTTTTAAGAAGTCGTTCTCTCAATATCTGATTGAAACAGCTAAAATTCAAAAACGGCTACAAAGTTTTTAACGTCAAACTTAAAATAAGAGAAACGTAACTTTTTAACGAGGTACGTACCATAAAAAGTATATAAATGATTTTCATAAATAAAAATCTAAAATAAGAAAATATTTTTGTCAGAAATATACCTCGTTTTTTTAAATAGAAACAATAGTCCGATAGAAATGATGATGATGGATTGAGTTCGGTGTTCAATCCTTTTTTAAAAAGATAGTTCCTACTCACAGTAAGCAGTAAGTTGTTTTCCAACTATCCGGATTTCGAGCCCCAAACTCATCATCAGGTTTAAATTGATCGTTGGAAAACAACTTACTGTGAGTAGGAACTATCTTTTTAAAAAAAGGATAATAGTCCGATTTTAATATTTGATAGAGTTATAAAAATGCGCTTGATAATTTCTTTAAAACCAATTATCGAACATGAAAATCGGCCCCCTAGGTACAAGAAGAAAATTGATGTTATAGATCAATTAACTAGGAATCCCAGACATGCAGGATGGTCGGCGAAATTATCAGTCAAAATATTAGTTTACACCGATTTCCGCGAAAGTCATTATTTAAAAGTTTCATAACACTAGAATCACGACAATGAAGTTAAATCCCCGTTATGACCATTTTCTGACCCATCTTCCTTACATAAAGTTTATTGAAATATGTGAAAAGCAGTATTTCGTTGATTTATCTTCTTAAATCGTACCAAATTAGAATATTCTGTGTCATAGAAAACGTTTGCTGTTTTCTTAACCAACATTGAAATTAATTACAATTAAATAAGGTTTTTAGTTGAGATGAAAAAAAGTTAATGGCACGAGCGGGATTCGAACCCACGATCTTCGGCTAGGTACGCCGCTGCTCTACCACTTGAGCTCTCGTGACCTCGATCCACTCGGACATCAACTTCCTATCTCAACCCCACCTTACGAGTTTTCCCTCCTTTTTGCCATTTTTCAAATGTCGTGTAATCGGATTGGATCGCAGCGGCGTATCTAGCCGAAGATCGTGGGTTCGAATCCCGCTCGTGCCATTAACTTTTTTTCATCTCAACTAAAAACCTTAATTAATAGTAATGTATTAATTGGTCAAGCGGACCACGAAATTAGTGGAGTTATAATTAATACAGCAAAAATAATATTTTTTCATTTCTAAAGACGATTTCTGATCATTTAATTGCAATTAAAATTAGATTTTGAAAAGAGCTTCGTTAACCCGATGACTGAATTTTCTTCTCTGACAAGAAAGTCGGTGCCTAAGTGTTTTATAATGATAATTTATGTATTTATAATTATTTCATAGTTTAGAGCTCGCACTAGGAATGTCAGTCATGCAGGACGGTCGCCGAAATTACCAGCCAAAAAATTAATTTACACCGATTTCCGCGAAAGTCGATATTGAAAAGTTTCATAACTCTAGAATGACGGCAATGTCAAGTCGAAGATTTGACCATTTTCTGAAGAATTTCACACGAATATTTTTTCGCTGTTGATATGTAATTTCACTGAACTGCAATAATCAACGTCAAAATAACCTCTGGTCTTGCTTGCTAACAATTCTAAGAGGTTTCTGTTGACAAGTAAGAATAAGTAATTTCATAAATACCTCCACTTTACCAATAACAACGTGTTCATGATAAATAGACCTAATTATTAATAAATTGACTTGATCGAGGCTAAATAAATTAATTGTCCTAAGTATCGTTTCTTCTACATAATTCAATTCTCTATTCGATAGCTTTATACATTCTCTTTTCCCGTTCGTCAGTAGTTCTGTCTCGCTATCGGTTATTTTTAGTCCAGCTTTATTCCCTTATTTATTTAGCTCGTTTAGCATATTTTTCAGTTTGGCAGCTATCTCAGCAAATATGACTCAAGTTTGTTAGTCTTTTTCCATGTATAAATATTCCTACTTTTGCCGTGTTCTCCCACTTTAACGAAACGAAAATTTTGTTCCAAGACACAATTAAATAGGGTTGGTGAGAGGGGGTCTCCCTGTCTGACTCCTCTATTTATTCGGAAGTATTCTCCAATTATATCCATTTTTATTCTTGCTTTCGTGTTTTGATTGATGATTCGGCTACAATGCTTATATACTTTTTGAGGACTTGTTGGTTTTTTAAGGCAGAAAAAAGAAATTCGTGCGAAACTGTGTCGAAGGCCTTTTCATAATCAACGAACGCCATGTATATCACATTTTGATGTTCTACAGACCTCTCTATCACCTAGCTAACTACTTGAATGTGGTCAATCGTTGAATATCTTACGAAATCCAGCTTGTTCCAGGGGTTGTTGGGCTTCCAGGTTTCCTTTTATTCGGTCCAGTAGTAGTTGTGAGAAAACTCTACTTGGGGTAGGAGTAAGAAGTAGAATAAGGGGTCGGTAATTCTTAACCTCATTGGGGTCACCTTCGAGGCTAAGGAACAAAAACGGCTGCATTCTCTGGGATTAGGATATTCAAAACAGGCTTACCCTCCACAAAGACCGATGTTCTTTCAAGTCAAATACTTAAGAGTGTACCTAGACTGATGATTGACCTGGGAATCCCTACACAAGACATTGGATACAAGTTAACAGAAGACATGGCTAACTAAGCAGACTTCTAAGAACGAAATCCTTTTGACCTTCACACTAAACTAATCTTATACATGACTTCACTGCGACCACTTTAGACATAACGCAGTAAAACTGTGGGGTTCTGCCAAGCCATCCAACATCCAGCGCATCTAATCAGTCTAATCAAAAGTCCTCAGACAAATCGTCAAACCTCCCTGCTACGTCACTAACCTCACGAAACGAATTCCTTTTGTAAACGAAATGATTTATTCCCGATTCAAAATCTTACACCCTAACTTCTCGATTCATCCTAACCATACTGCTCGAACCCTATTTATACATTCCTAACCACGTCGCCTTGATCGGCAACAGCAAACCTCCTTAACCCCACACATTCAGTGCCAGTATTGGCTGGTTTCTCTTGGCATGTGTCTACAGGTGCAGCGATGGCATTAGCGTTAATGATCGTGTGAAAAAAAGGGTTTGTCATCACATTTGCAAAATGTCCTGGTAAATACGTGTACAAATAAAATAAACGGGACAACAGTTCGGCACGACACAGCCGTAGTACGGGTTTAGCATAGATATCTAATAATTAGTGAATAAACACTTGTTTCCTTTTAATGTGACTTAATTTTCTGTTTCTAAATCATTTAAAAAATATTTTATTCTCTACTCTCTAATTCCACCACCGCTGGTAGGAAAACGGCAGGGAGAGGGTGACAAAAACTGGTAGCGGCGCGTTTAATTGATAGCAATGAAGCTTTTTTTTTTCAAAATCTAATTTTAGTCGCAATAGCGTATCAATCATAATTCGTTATTTAGAGATTTTTTTTCCAATGGATACCACGAACTGGAGGAGTTCCCTCCTGAGCAATGCAGCTGAGCTGTACAGTTTATTGTACTTTATCCCTGGCTCCATGTTTGGGGGAGGGCTCGCAACACAAATGTGAACTTGAGCCCCCGTTGTAACGGTGTTCTTCCATCGAAGAAACTCATTTTTGAAGGGGGTTGGGACCAAATTCAGGGTCGCTGAGATCCGATCCCGCCCCTTCCATTGATGAGTGCCATGTCAATTTCTTTCAATTGCGGCCACCGGTCCCCTTAGGCGTCAGAAAAAGTCCAGAGGCGACGATGGGTATGGAACCCACGACCGCGGGTTCTACTAGCCGAGAGTCTGACGCCTTAACCATTCGGCTACCGTGGCCCCCTATTTATAAATTTACAAAAATAGTATTTTTGGTGTATTAATTTCATTGTTGGTTAAGATAAATACGAAAATGTTATATCTACAGAATATTCTAATTTAATATGTTTTAAAAAGATAAATCAACAAAATACTGCTATTTTCCATATTTTAATAAACATTGTGTAAGCAAAGTAGGTCGGAAAATGGTCATAACTGAGATTTGACTTCATTGTCGTGATTCTGGCGTTATGAAACTTTTAAATAACGACTTTCGCGGAAATCGATGTAAATTAATTTTTTGTCTGATAATTTCGACGACCTTCTGCGTGACTGACTTTCCTAGTGTAAGCTCTAAGATAAGTTTTCACAATACGTAGTAGAAAACCGATTTTCATGGTTGATAATTTGTTTTAAAAAATTTTTCAATTGCACTTTATAACTTTATCAAGATGTAGATGTAACGTCAGGGTATAGTATACTGCGCTCTTTAAGAGCTATTGTATCCCGCGAGCTCTGCCTAAAGCACATCGGTGAGTCCTATTTCATCAAGGAGCTTGATTAATAGGCCCGGTTGCAGTGGTTGAAGCTCTTCTATGGTCACATTGTACATCCCATAACATTTCCTCCTGCGGGCTAGTGTAGCTCCGCAGTTTGTTAGTAAATGTGTTGGTGTCTCTTCTGCTTCCTTGCAGAATCTGCATGTGCCATCTTGGATTGTTCCAATTTTCTTTAAGTGTCCATTTAATTTACCGTGTCCTGTTAGGAATCTAATTAGGATTCGCAGTCTGTTCCTGCTTCCCTTGACACATTCTGAAATTTCTTTCCTTCCAAAATTGGTTAGAAGATTCTAGGATTGTCTGTGTTCAATGAGTGAATTCCAAAGTTCCCTCATTTGCTTTTTGTCCTTCTGTCTGAGATATTCGTTAATAGTGTTGATTCCTATGCCACAGAAGGGCTCAGGTCCTATCAGCGGTGTAGCAGCCCCTTTCCTTCCAATGGTGTCCGCTTTCTTGTTGACTTCTACTCCCATGTGACCTAGCAGAGGCTAACTTTATCAAACATCGGACTATTATTTCCATTTAAAAAACGAGGTTAATTTCTGACAAAAATATTTACTTATTTTATCTATTTTCCTATAGTCATTTTGTATATATTTCCATGGTACACACGACGTTAAAAAGGTCGTGTCTCTTCTATCAAATGGCACGTACGTTTTTGAATTAGAGACGTTCCAATCGGATATTGCGAGGAAGACTTCTTAAGAATCTGAAAATTTTAGAGGTCAAAAAATCGATAAATTTAAATTCAAGCGAAAATTTATATCTTCGGGTCTCTTGAGGTACTAAAACTTAATTTCATATTAGTTTCACGAAGAAACTTTTTATGACCTAGTTTGGTGTGTCCGATATTTTGAAATGTAGAATCACTAAAAAAAAGTTTGCTCTAAATCCATGAAACACCAACCTGGTCGTCCCTTGTTAGTAACGGTCTAGTGTAAGTTTTTTGTAAGGTTTTAAAAAGAATGAGTTTTTTACCGCTGGTTGATTTAAAGAAGGGGTGGATTTGTTGGCCATGGCTTATGTGAGTCGCTGGTCCAATCACTACATAAAAGAAGACTCTGATTTAATAATATCCAAATGGTCTGAGATTTGAACAAGAGCGACATACAACCTTCAACCTTCTTAGGAAAGATTTTTATTTTTTGTGTTTCTTTTTCCTGCCAGCCTAGCAGCTTATCTGCCTTTTGTGTGACAGACTGTCTGCATGCCTTTTGTCTGTTTGCCTCTCTGTTCATGTTTTGTCTACCTGTTTGTACTTCGTGTGACTACCCGCAATTTGGTTTATTACAGATAATCCTAGTTTGCCAATCTTTGCTGGTCTGTCAGATGAGTTTTGCATTTCGTCACCTTCTATGTTTTAAATAGAAATCAAATTTTCTCTATAACCTTCTTTTCAAGTTCATCCTCATTACCCCGTAGTTGACGTAAGGGGAACATTGATGAATGACTGTACACGTCTTGACGCCTGCTGTATGTGTGTAGTTTCCGATCATCTTGGTCCGTCTAATTTCGTTTTTTTGTCGTTCAGGCTCGTTTAGGCTTTCGCCTGAATGGAAGTATCTTGACTTACCTTTCTTATAATCCTGACCAACCGGAGACTCGAAACAGCAAGATAATGCTCGGAAACGACCAAACTCCATCTAGTTTGTTAAATATCAAACAATTCGATATGTCTATAGTTTTATAAGTACCTATCGGTCTGCCTACCCTTTCTGAATTTTGCCAGTTAGGTAGTATAGGCTGTTCGGGTTTTCGAACATGGCAGCGCCGACTAGTGTCGTCGTCCTAGATAAAGGAAATAATACAACCTGCACCATTAATTTACACGGAGCGACAGTTGTTTCCTGGAGGGCAAATAATCAAGAACAACTATTCGTAAGCAAGCAAGCAGTTTTTGACGGGAAGCAACCTATTCGTGGAGGAATCCCTTTTGCCTTCCCTCAATTCGGACCGTGGAATTATGGGCCAGACCATGGCTTTGCTCAAGTTGTTAGATGGAACCTCGAAAAGGGTCCCGAACGACTACCTAGTGGTGACGTGGAAGCAATATTTTCCACCATGGACAGTGACTGGACGAGATCCATGTGGAACGATCCCTTTCGCCTGACATATCGGCTCATACTTAGAGAGAAAGTTGCATTTCATAATCGGCGTGTATAATCCTAGTACAGACATAACCTTCAGTTTTAACATCGACTTCATACATATGTCAAAGTGCCCGATGTGAGGAGGTGTCAAATCACAGGACTTCACGGGTGTACTTTTATAGATAAGACTAGAGATGGTGCAATTTACCAAGAAGGGAGGGAGTCGGTAAGCATAGGCGAATGGACTGATAGGATATATCAGAACACCACTCAGAAATTCATTGTAACGAATGTGGTTTCAGGAAGAAAAATGAGAATACAGAAGTAAATTTCCCAGATAATGTTGTTTGGTTGTTGGTCAGATCATAGTAAGGATTATCCAGATTTTGGAGATGATGAATTTCCAAACATGATTTGTGTGGAGTCCGATCATGTTTCTAGCCAGGTTCATTTATTGCCAGGCACTGCCTTTGAAGCCATCCAAATTCTACAGGTTATGTAGACTGAATCATGGCGCGTTCTCTAGATTTAAATCTTGATTTAATTCAGATTTTTCATCTATGGTAGGAAATATATATATATATATAGTATAGGCAGACCATGATGATTTTATATGTTCTGCATAAACAAGCACAGGAAGGACCATTTTGTCTATCACAAATGACAGACCCAAAACATCAAATATAGGCAGAGCAGAAAGTTCGTATTTCGTTTGTTTCTATAAACATGTTTATAAATATCAATTAATGAACGTCCCTACCTTATTATTTTTGGATTTGTGTATAATACTACTCTGTACTCTACTTTTTACTTAGTTCGTACTAACTCTGTTTGTGTTTGATCTGTGCAGAGAATTAAAAGAGAAAGGCCAACGGGTGGGTGTTTGTGCAATGGTTTGTCATATATGCAGCGAAAGAGGTCCTGGAATAAGGAAGAGGACTCTCAGGATCGCGACAGTCGGAGAGGCCAAAGCTGTCCTTTATAGAGGAGATTCCACTTTGACACTTGCCCATGTACCTACACAGGTAATGACGTAGTTTCATAAATCATGCAAGCGGGCTAAACCATTTTTTATCAGGTTACAAGAAGCCAAATAGGAAACAGTGCGATGTTCCCACTAGTCGTTCCCGACCCGCACGTCACGGAACTCACTCTCAAAGACTGCGATGAAATGATAATAATGGCCAATAAAAGGTAAAAGGAAAATAAATCGATTTTTAACGGATAAAATTTAACGTTAAATTTTAAGGCTATGGGAAGTCGTAAGCCCTGAGGACGCCGTGGCGGAAGTGAGGTCTATCTCGGACCCTGTCCTTTCAGCAAAAAGACTTCAGGATTTGGCACAAAGTTACGGTTGCGAGGACAACCTGAGCGTGATGGTTGTCAGGCTAGGCGGCCAGTCGCACCAAGATCAACTGTTAAGAGAGCTCAATTATACAATACAGGTAATTAAAAGCTTTAAAATGTACAATACGACTTACCAAAATACAAAATTCTACAGTTCTGTGAATCTGCCGGACAGGAAAGCTTCAGGCACCCAGTCATCGGATGCCAAATGGTAAGGCGTGAAGCCCATTGTGACGGGATCGTAAGTCTCTTATAAATCTAAAAATTGAACATTGCTAATTTTATCATCTCTTATTTTGCAGCACGCCACCGAAAACACTTGTTGGTGCCAGGGAGACAGGTCGTCACCGAGCGGGCAGAGTGATCAAGCAAGCTGTGGTAGAACGAGCTCGAGGGAAAACTATGGCCATTACTTCACAGATAAAGTAAGATATTTCAATACACGAAGTTATTATAAAAAATAATTAACTAGTTTTCGTGGTCCGCTTACCCATTAATATATTTCAATAAATTAAGGTTTTTAGTTGAGATAAAAAAGTCAGTGCCACGAGCGGGATTTGAACCCACGATCTTCGGCTAGATACGCCGCTGCTCTACCACTTGAGCTATCATGACTTCGATCACTCGGACACCAACTTCCCATCTCCACCCCACATTTTTTTTTAATTTTCCCTCCTTTTTGCCATTTTTCAAATGTCGTGTAATCTATTTGATTCTCGGCGACAAATGAAATGGCCATGGAGAACTTTAGTGAAGTATACATCATTTTAACTTATTAAATTCACTAGTTTTCGTGGTGACCAATTAAATTGAATTTGAAAAATGGCAAAAAGGAGGAAAAATTCAAAAGGTGGAGTTGAGATGGGAAGTTAATCGACGTCTCGATAATTCATCTGGTAGAGTAGCGGCGTATTAAGCCGAAGGTCGTGGGTTCGAATCCCGCTTGTGACACTGACTTTTTTATCTCAACTAAAAACCTTAATTAATTGAATGATAAAAAATAATAGTGTATACAAACAGTTTTATGAGGAAAAATATATATCTCACACTTTTAGTCATTTTGCGGCGAACATTGAGCTTATTGACGATCCCTCGCCACCGGTTTGGAAAACACAAACTAGTACAACTTTCAAATCAGCACGTGCAGTCTTTTGAAACAATATATGCACTAAAATAGACGGTATTTGGAACTTTATCTTAAGGCAGCTTATTTCTCCATTGATCAAACCAGGGTATTTTAAAAGTCCACATAAAAAGCATAATCAATTGTCATTGTACTTGGAAGAAGCATTTTGATATATACTATTATTATGTTACAACAGCTAGAGTGCTGCAAGCAACTTTGTTGTCTTTATGGACTTCATAACAATCGTAACAATTTAAGAGTGAAAAATTAATCGATTAATTAATTGCTAACAAAACACTGATCTGTTGATATCTGTTGTCACTTTCGAGTGAATTGTCGGGAATGGTTCGGGATGAAGGGTGTTGGACTAGGGAGTTAGGGAGGATTTTATGGAGGCGTCTGTATCGACTTCTTGTTGTTTCGAGGACAAATGGAATTCAAAGATCTGTGGGAAATAGGAGTAGAGAGCTTAGGCAATTAATTTTCTACTGGAGCAACTGGATTCTTTGGAGATTGAAAAGCTTGGTTGTAACCCGTAATTCAATTATGTACGTTCAGATTGGTTGTAATAATGTTATGTATACGAGGCATTTCAGTCATGTGTGATCGTTCTAAGTAAAACTTTCTTCGATGTCAAGTCCTAAATTGCAACGTACATTTGGTGCTCCGAGTGGAACTCTGGAACTGGAGTTGTAGTAAATTAGACGAGAGGTGATGTTTATTTGTCGGATTTTAATACTCTACTTGAAGAATCATTCTTCCAATGAGGAGAAGACCATCTCTAGGAGGTTCCTGAAGTTGGACCAGGCCCAAAACTGTCATAGCATTTAAACAACCGGTACCTTTATTAAGTGGTGTGGAAAAAACATGTAAATAAAAAACTCCAAAATATGCTTCCAATCTTAAACTTCTCGTATAAGCCTTATAAATATTTAGTTGTTTATATTTCTCGAACGATTAAATAATGATCTTCTTAGTGTAATACTGTTTATCCGTTTCTTCTGGGTCGACTTAATGTCTGAAACTGTTATTGAGAATAAAGGCACTTCCAACTCACAGATCTCAGATGTCAATACGATCGCAGTTCCAAAAATATGTCGAGTGTAATTTCGAGAGATATGAGGCGATCATATTTTAACTGATTTAGAAAGTCGTTTCTGACCTATCAATAGTGTCTGTCAAATGTACGTTTTGTAGCAATTTGAACTTGTGCGAAGTACAAAGACTGACGATGAAGTGATTACTCGTCAATCAGTTATTTCATACAATCTATCAGATGATTATTTATATACTGGTACTGAAGTGCCCTGGCCTCCCCTACAATCCTAGTCCATCTCTTCTGTCCTCGTGCGACTCGTCCATTGTTCAATCTGCATCTTTCTGAGGTCGTCCAAAAATCTCTTTCTAGGCCTTTCTCGTAGACATCTATCACCTGGCTTACCTCATGAAACGTTCTTTACGGTCCGTACTCTGGCAACCTTTCCACGTGGCCAAAACTTTCAATCCCGTTTGTACGAATCTGCTAGTCACCATCCATGCAAACTACGCCGAAGATCTTCCGAAGCACTTTTCTTTCGAAAAGCCCCAAAAATCTTCGTCCGCGCACACCATTTTCGACGTTTCAGACCCGTAAAAAACATTGGCCTTTCTATTTTCATGAAAATGAACGAGATGAGTATTTCTTTGCAAGAGAAGATGCAACTTTCGATGCTAATGACAATGTTCTGACCTTCAAAAGAAAAATCCAGTTTTGTGTAGAATCTGTTGAGAAGGAAGAGGTGGAGAATATTCCTGTGTTAAGTGATTTTTTAAAAGAAAACAAACTGGAGCTTGATTGATGAAATCTGAACACCTTCGAAGTTTGGAGATATCATTCCAGCACTACTTCCCAACAGCTCGAGGTAAGCTGCAAGATCATGAATGGGTGGTCAAACATTTTTCATTTTCGACAAAGCCAACCAGTCTATCTTCAAGAGAATATGTTTGATAGACATTAATTTGGCGTCCACCTTGAAATCTACTTTGGTGTCCCATACTTATCCCCATTTTGGCTCCGTCTAGAAAAAAATTTCAACCTCTCGTTGAAAAACCAAAACGCGTTCTTTTTCCATTTGCTACAACGTACCTACGTGAATCCGGATTTTCTATTTACAACCTACCAAAACTAAATACCGAAGCTGTCTACATGCTGAACCCGATATCCGTCTCCAGCTATCAAAAATTGAACCCAACATATCCAAATTGTGCAGGCTAAACAAATGCACTCTTCCCATTAATTTATTTTATTACTTCTGACATTAGCTCGAGTTTCACCTAGGTCCGGATTCCGTTCTGCCCAATTTGATTTTGTGTTTCGGGTTTGTAAATAAAGTTAAGTATGTCAACTAAAATCTTGCATCACCTTAAATAAAGCAGGATCATTTATATAGAAACATGTCAAAAATAGCTATATAAACCATAACCTATTGTCAATGTCATAATAAATTGCAGGAGATAATGGAAAGGCACAGCTACCCATCGGTTCTAATGAGAGAGAACGGAACAAGGAAGATGTGCTCCAAGCTCGCACACCAAGATGCCCACCTGGCCGATTGTGACGAATCCCTTTCAGACAGGTAATTAAGACACTTTAAAAAGTATGTAATACAATCACACAGAGTAAACACCACAATAAAGTTGCACAAAGATTGAGAATGAAGGAAATGTCGGTTGGGATGTATTGAAAAAGAGTTTGCAAATCGCCAGGTCGGGGCATTTGTCGGATGAACAATTCCGATGCTGGGAGTACATGCTCGAGCAGAACACTCAGATGCTCTTCGACAAAGAATTGGACACACTGTCGCGCGGTGTCGCTAGGAGACCCGCGAGGCCGCAGATGTGGCCCAGGGCCAAAAGCAGTCCTCACCTCAACTCCGACCCTTCATTCCTTTCCAGGTGACTACACAATAGCAGATAAAACACTGTGTGATCCCTAGCCTTAAGCACGGATTAATCTAATTTGCTAACGGATATAATTTGAAAATAATAACAATAAAGATTAAGTATTTATTTTTTGTTTTCACGCTTTCAAACGATAAGGAGAAGGTGTTGGGAATAATATTTGAATTTGAAAAGAAGGTAAATTTTGTATGTAAGCACCATTTATGTATATTTTTCTAGTTTTAAAAAGTACTGTATCAAGGTTCAGCAAATACAATCACAACTAGCATTTCAATTTTAAATATTTAATGGAAGTAATCTTTATGAATAGTATTGGTTAAGATAAAAAAAGTCAGTGTCACGAGCGGGATTCGAACCCACGACCTTCGGCTAAATGCGCCGCTACTCTACCACTTGAGCTACTCGGACACTAACTTCCCATCTCAACCCCACCTTTCGAATTTTCCCTCCTTTTTGCAATTTTTCAAATGTCGTGTAATCTATTTGATTCTCGGCGACAAATGAAAAGGCCACGGAGAGCTTTCGTCAATCGGACCACGAACTGTAATGTATTTAATCGAAGATTGAAAATAGTCGCCCTGGTTCGCCTATTTACGTAGTGATTGTTTTCGTATGAAATAAAAAATTCTTTCCAACTTTTGTACCAAGATCTACATTGCTCAAGAACGGTTTTCCTAGCACAGCAACCTTTACCGAGCTATTTCGGGGAAGTCGCATACGATATGCTCTCTTATCTCTTCTAAACATAATCGATATTGGTCTGTTGATAGACTCAATTTTGTTAAAGAAGTACTTTACTGGATCACATCCTATAGATACCAGTTAGAATATTTTCTTCCTTTCTTTTAAGTAGGATATCCTCTTTTTTTCCCCTAAAATCCTTTTTTGACATCTAATGCTTCGTTGCCTGAACTCATGACCTGGCACACACTTTAAGCCAGGAACACACTTACCCGATGCTACCCGACGCCTTGCCACGTTTTGGTAGGGTGTGCACACCTATCCGACGCAAGGTCACTACGCGTACAGTCCACAGCGTTTATCACAATAATCACTACCACAATCGCAACGCATCTTTTGTTCATTAATGCACTATTTTGAGCTAAACCTTGTAATAAATTGTTAGTTAAATTTTATGAGCACAACCATCTATTAAATTGTTTGTTAAACTTAATTGTTTTAAATAAAGTTACTCCTAACCATCATAATAAAACAATGTTTATAAAAACTTATGAATTTTTGATCTCGTTTAATTTGGTTCACATTAAAATAACATGTTGTAATTAATATAACGACCAAATTACATGTACTTAGTTTGAAATAAACTACAAAAAATATGAGTAATCCTGTTCTAACACTACTCGACGAAAATCGCAATGCATCTTTTGTTTTTAATGCACTATTTTGAGCAAAACCTTGTAACAAATTGTTAGTTAAATTTTATGAGCACAACTATCTAATAAATTTGTTAAGTTTGTTACACTTAATTGTTTTAAATATAGTTACTCCTAACCATTATAATTAAACAATGTTTATAAAAACTTATGAATTTTTGATCTCATTTGATTTGGTTTACATTAAAATAACATGTTGTAATTAATACAACGACTAAATTACATGTACTTAGTTTGAAATAAACTACAAAAAATATAAGTGTCCTGTTCTGATGCTACCCGACATTAGAAAATGGTGTAATTTTACGATCAAAATTATGAAATAAACTGTTAATTAAATTTTATGAGCAAAACCGTGTAATAAATTGTTCCAATTTTAGTATATGTACCGCCGAAGCGAGTACAATAAATTGTTAGTTAAATTCATTGTATCAAAAAATCGTATTCCGGTGTTTTCATTAATTTTCTACCAAACCATTAAAATTAATTTTTTAAATAAAAACTAATTAATTTTTAAACAAAGTTAATTTGGTCTATATTAAAATAAGTATGTTGTAATTAATATAACAACAATAATACATGTAGTTTGAATAAAAACATGAGTGTCCGGTTCTTTTGTCTTCGTCTGCTACCCGACGAAAATCTGGACAGTGGAAATCGCGAGCGTAGAGTAGGTTAGCGTGGCATGGCATCGGGTAGATGTGCATGGGGATAATGCAACCTTATGGAAAATCGGAGTTTGGATTTGCGTCGGGTAGCATCGGGTAGATGTGCACGGGGGTAATGCAACCTTATGGAAAATCGGAGTTTGGATTTGCGTCGGGTAGCGTCGCATGGCGTAGCATCGGGTAAGTGTGTTTCTGGCTTTAGGTTGAAATTTTTAGATACCTCTAGATTTAGGCAGTTCAGGCAACTTTTGAGTTAACATCACTATCATGCAGTACTTTTAGAACTGCCTGGCTATCTGAAAGTATTATTGTTGCACCCTTGCGTTTTTATTACCTATTTCATACGCACAGTTTGTATGACAAGCAGTTCGGATTGAAAGATGATTATGAATGGGCCGAGAACAACGTGGTGTTCATTTTACCCTTTCTTTTATACCTATACCATTTTCCATTTTCGAGCCAAAGAAGGCTCTAGATTTATCTTTCCTTATTTTATTTTTCCCATTAACACTGTTTTCAATAATTATATTGCATACTTTTTCAAAGTCTAGTATTTCCTCTGATAACTTGAGAGGAAAAACTTGATAAAGTGCACATTAATTTTTCCGATTTGGATTCAGGCAAACTACATATAAACTGAGCGTGTTTAGTGATTTTCAGGTATATAACTCATAGTTTTAACCGTGTCAGTTACTCTAGCTTTGTGGAAGATTTTATTATGGCCTGTACCTTCCTTTGGGGCTGTGGGCAATGCTTTAAACACAGCAACAGTGATGCTAAAAAAAGGTCGTTTTGGATCTATCTCTCAAATTCTTCCACAGTCTTTGGCACGCCCAATGTGTCAATGTTCGATCATGGGTTCACTTAAGGTGTGCATTCCATGTTAACCTTTGGTCAAGAACTACTAAGTATGTAATTTCTTGGCAATATTTTATTTCTTAATTTGGCAAGATTAGGCTTATAATTAATATAGACTTTAATAGAAGTTCCCCTATTTAGACCGTTGAAAGCCACTCAAAGAGCCCAATCACGTTTATCTGTCAGTTTTCCATGTCCATCTTGTATCGACGATTAACTGAAGTAACTGCAGCAGTCCGGTGGGATATCCAGCATTTGACAAGTCAACAGTAACGAGAATAGACACAGCTTAAGGGAAAAAATTAAGAAAGTGCACGTTAATTTTTCCGATTTGGATTCAGGCAAACTGACAGATAAACTGAGCGTGTTTAGTGCTCTTAAGAAGGAGAACAAGCTGTAACAGGCGGACAAAATAATCAGCGAGGTGTTTGAGAGAGGGATATTTGAAATTCTGTCAAGTCAATCAAGCACCGAAACGACAACTTAATTATTACCTCTAATTAATTTTTGGCCTTGCATCAGATGGGTTAAAGATGATTAAATGTCAAAATTTACAGCTAGAATAGGAGAACCAGGATCAGAGAGGATTTTTTTCACAAATTTTAAAAAAGGCAACAGACAACCTTACAAACATTTATGGCTTTCAATAAAGTTAAGAAGAATGAGTTTTCAAGTCAATCAGGTCTGCAAGTCAAATCTGCATTTATTAAAACTCGTGAAATCACTTTAAGTCTAACTATAGCTATATTTTCTCTTAGCTCATAAGCCGATTTTCTTCAAAGTTCTCCCGGTTACTTAGTACTGTTCTGACAGTCTCAATTTTATACTTGGCGACGCTGATCCTTTTATCCTTAAGAGAATCGCCTGTTGTAGATTTCATTGGACCGTCCATGCATACAAACCGCCTTCTTTATGTTTTTGTCCATGGATTATAATCATATAGGCCGCAATATTCTTCTTGCCATGGGCAATGTTTATGTATATATGAAAAAAGAAAAAAATAGGAATGTTTTGGGGAAAAAATTGTCCCAGATAAGATGTTGCTGATGTACAATATGGTCAACTTTACGTTAATATACATTAATTATAAATACCAATTTATTTGCTGGCATGAAACAAAAAATATTTTTCTATTATTTTAGTTTTATATGAGAATTAATGATAATAGAGATGGATGCTCCCCAGGCACTGCAGCCTCCTGGCTTATTGTACGCTCCTAGTTCCCTATACGAGTAGTAATAATCTTTTTAATTAAACAAATTCGTCCTTGATTAGAACTCGAAATAGTAAAACGTGTTTAAACTTGGTTTGTAAATGAGTTGTAAACAAGTTATCCTGAATTATATTGTAATGTGGAATTTGGATAAGTAAGTTTACATATATGATAAATGTAGTGATGATCAAAATTGTAAAATGTCGATTTTTCAGGGCATTCGGAAGCACGAGGTCATTCCAGTCTGGCCTAACCAAGTTCGGCTCGCAGTCGTCGAGGAGATCGCTCCACGCAGGGCCGAACGCTGCCTACTTCGGAAGCCTCCAGAGGCTGTTGCCGTACACGGCCGACTACGACTTCTCCATAATAAAAGAACGTAGCGAAGTCGACTCTCTGGAGACGGAAGACCGGATGTCCAAGTACTGGGACGTCGCGACGACCGAGCTGTAATCGCATGCGTGAAGGAAGTTTCGATAGATCTCAAATTTGAACCCCTTGTTCCTAGAAACGGGCCGAGAAAACGGACGGTTTTTTGTACAAGTGACGGTATTTTTCAAAACAATCGATGCCTGCGCTTTTTAGTAGACTTGCATGTCACTTTTCGAGCCAAAGTTTATTTTTTTTTAAACAATTTGTAAACATTGTAAATATTAGTTTTTTATCTTTTAAAAAAGTGTTCTGTGTTTCTAATCCTTTCCTCCTCTAGCGGACCCTAGACCTACAATAACATTCCACAATGCAGTTATTATTTTGTTATCTCTTTATAAAAACTTTTTTTCTGCTTTATTTTTACATTAAATTTTTGGGTGTTTCAAGAATTTACACCATCATAAACATCTTTTTCTAATTAAATTTATTTCTAAAAAATTTAAATTTTTTATATATACAGTTTCTTATAAAAGATATGGAACTTCAAATTTTTTTTTATTAAAAAAAAATTATAAATATAAAAAAGAAGTTTTTAAGAAAAAGCCATACTACATAGTAAAAATTATAAAGCCTTTCTTGTTCAATAATATTGAATGATATATTGAACCCAATTTAATAACCCAATAACACTCATCAGTGAGTCCCCCTACACGGAAATCTTTAGAAAAAGGCGAAATATTTATTCGTTATGAAGGGAGGAGACCAGATGATCGAGTCAAGAGCACGACCGGTAGATGGCCCTCACAGAACCTGAGCAGGAGACGAGGGATCGTACTCACCCGACTGAGGATTGGCCATACGCGGTTAACACATGGGCACCTGCTTTTTGGCCAAATCCCGCGCAGGTGCCCCTTATGCAGAGAAAGGTTGCTCGATGTGTCCCACATAATAGAGGCGTGTCATGCCTTTACTCCATACAGAGAGCGTGTAGGCATGCCGCCGGACTTAAGGAGGGTCTCGAACACGGTAGCGAGTTTCAGAGTCCCCTGTTCCGCTTTTTAGAGGTTGTTGTTGGCATGTTTGTGACAAATGTTTTGTCTGAGTGCATGTATTTATTAGTAGCGTGAATAGTGAGGGGTGATGGTGAAATATAACGCCATCATCGCCCCTCGAACGATGAAAGCGAGTGAGTGTGTGTTCGGGGTCGATGGCGGAATATGTATAAAAGTTCCCCATCGACCCCAATCTAGTTTAGTTTAAGTATATTTCGGTGGAGGAATATCAAGTACTCCACCGACCAAACGGAATGAGTGTACTGTATGGATGTATTTAAGTGTATGAATGTATTTATTTGTATGAATGTAGTGTTTGAACGGGTATAGAATATAGACTTAGTGAGGGGCTGAAATGACCTAGATGTCGGAAGCCCCAGCAAAAAAAAACCACTGATGGCCCAGTGTTTTCTCATGAGCAAGACGTAGAACTGCAAGATGTCAGAATAAAAAATATTGCGCAATATTAACCACGGTACGATGAAAAAGTACGGTGCAATTAAAATTAAACTCGCTCAAATTTTTATCCAATCATTGGGCAAACTTCAATACCAACCCTAAACGGTCCAAAATATCGCGCAATTCGTAATATTATGCAATATAATTCATCGTCTAAGCCCGCCTTATCACATGTTCGATAAACTAACGCAAAAGTAACAATATTGGCAGTATTAGGTGAAATTAAACATATTTCCAACGTGTCTGAAGCCTTCCATGAAACTGTTGTAAATTTAAAAAATAATTTGTTACCGCGCGTTGTTGTTAGGTCTTATTAGATAGGTCATGTCTAATGAAAATATGTAATATGCAAATGCAAGGGCCAAATATCGTTTACATTGGACTTTATTGCTGAACTTCAACCACCTTTCAACTAGTACTGAGATCATATCCACATAATTTGTCAGAGTGCTGTACCAAAAATGTAAATTAATCCAAATTATTGGCTTTAAGCAATAATAATTGCAAAAAGACTAAAGTGGACATTATGAAAACTATACATAACTAAATTAGATATAAATATAAGTAAGATTAAAGAGGAGGCGTTAGGGGCCGAAACAGTTTAGGCGTTCACAGCACTCATCTCTGTACAGTGGTCTCGGTGGCATTTTTTCAAAAACCCAGACACTCAAGAATTGATATGACTGCTGTAAAAAAAAAATGAAGGTTTCATATTAAATTATATAAGTTATAAAATCACTGATGATGGTAGAAAAGCGTCAAAATATCTGCGCAAAAATGAACTTCAATTGTCCAGACATTGGTCTACATTACAGTAGTATATACTACATACATTGCATAAAAACTAAGTAAGAAATAAAATTACACCATCAAAGCCGCAGCAAGTGATTTCAATAAAGTCGGTGACATATTCAATTTTTGCTTGGAGGTTAACAATAAATTATTCTAAATATAAAAAATTTAGATGTTGAATAAGTTATTTGGGAAAAAATTAAGAACAAATTGTAGTGAAATTTGTCTCGAAGGAAGAAAAAACGTAACAGTTCATTTTCAGGCTGATTTTATCGCCAAATCAAATATACAATAAGGGTGCCGTTTGGGGTTTATTATGTACTATTATCCTAGGCGCGTCAGTGGCCGGAACTGTTAAAGGCAGTGGCGTTGGCACGGCGCTGAAGGTAATAGGTTCATGGTTCGAATCCGGCGGCCGTGCATATAAACCTGACATACTTACAAATGGACATTTTTTAAAAACACCAGCACGCCGAGTTAATATAGCCTTGTAATCGAATAGTTGAAAAAAAAGTCCAACAAAAATAAATTTAAGCATAGAAAAAACACTAATTTATTTATACAACATCACTAGGCAGTAATTGCTTGCTGCTGCTACAAACGCGTACTCGACAAGACGGTATTCCACAAATAAGTTAACCATTGACATAATGAAATATTGGTAGTACGTCAAAACGATGAAAGCAATTCCATACTCAAGCATATAAGTCGTCTTCTCCCAGAGGTACACAATGATAAAAAATGAAATCGAATGTATAACATCGCTCGTGTGCTTGTTCAGAATGCTACACCTCAATTCCGATTTGAGCAAGTTCAAAAATGGTATCATATAAAGTAGAGAGCAACTCCACCGGCTGGAATTGTTCCTGAGGCAGATTTCCGAGGCAAAGAGAGGTAGGCAGAGCGCATAGCAGTACAGCGAACTTTTGCTATAATAAAAATCAAACTTTCCTTTTTCTTGAACTGGTAGACCTAGAAACAATCATCAATTTTACATCTAACAACAACACTTGATATATGCATAATTAACTATGCACAGACACTCTCACATTTGGACAATTTATTTAAGTTTAATGGGAAAGGTTAATTAAAACAAATACTTTATTCGTACATTTTATTTTTGAGCACATAACACTTAAACATTCGTTAAAATAAAATTTGCACCAAATTTATTCAACCGAAAAATATTTTAATTTACAAACATGTTTTATTTATTAATTTTTTAATCTTATCCATTTATTTATATTTTTGTAAAACATTAGGCAAAATAGTTTAATTCTAATTCCATGCACTAACGGATATCACAATTATTTCATTTTGACCTTTTTTTGGCATCTATCACTGAACTACATCTAAAGCATATATACATACATATAAGTACTTTACAGTTATTAATTTTTAAATAAGCGGCTTATTTTTCATTGTGCTCATTTTTTCTTTTTTTAATTTAAAAAATACATATTTAAGTTTTTCATATGACTTGAAGCCCATTGAATTGACTAGAAATGTTTATATATATTTAACATATTTTTTATCAACAATAAAATTTTTTATTAAATTTATAACTCGTTATTTGTGTCATATCCCGCTAGAATAAGCTCCTTGATTTTAAAAAACATTGTTTCTCAACATATGGACTTTACGATTTTAAACAAAAATACTGATCAAGTGGTACAATTAATTAGTCTACAATATCGATAAACATAAAACATAACATTTAAAAAAAAAAGTTTTTACAAAGTTTAATTCATTTATCAATTTAAATAAACACGAGGATCTAGGTAAACTTTGACATGGATAGTAAAATATTACACATAATAATGAAATTGTATCTCACTGGTGGCAATATAACATGAATTATTTTTTGTTAATTACATTTTAGATAAAACAAAGTAAACTTTTTTTAACCAATAAAAAATTACACAATTATTTGTCTCAATGACAATAACTTATACCTGTATGTTTTAATTAATTACTTTTAAACAATACATTTTTTATTGCTACAATTATTTAAGTTAATTTTTTGTTCTCTGTTGGCCGTGGCTGTATGAAATCGCCAATATAAATCACCATCCAAATCAATTCTACATTTAACAAACGATTTTTATACAATTATTCTGCCAGTGCAAATAACAGTGTAAATATCATTATACTATATAACTTTTAGTGATGCACTGTTTTCACTACTAAATCATTTTTTATTAATTTATAGCCTGACATCATGGAAATAATGTAAATTTACAAAATATATATATAAATATAGTTTAAAACATATTCCCTTACTTGCTTTTCTTTCACATTTTCTTTCTACTGTAAGTATAATTTATTTGCAGGAACATAAAAACTATTTTTTACCATATTTTTGGCTTTTAAAATACAATACAAAAATCTAGAATTACTTTATCACAATATGAGATTATAAAAAGTAAATGCGTATAGCAGCGCTTATAATGACAATATATCCATCCGTTTCCTGATTCAGTCTTGATTTGTTTACCGTTCTTTAAGCAAATTTTATAATAAATGCATCCTGGCCTCAGTTTTATAAAAATTGACTATTAATACTTTGCAATTTTAAATGCTGTAAAGGCATACAATTACGATCAATTTTAATATATCAAATTTTAATTAAACCTTCTTGTGTCGAATTGTAAATAAATTAAATTAACTTAATCAATCACAAAAATTTAACGACCTCTTAATGTTTGAACGAGAAAATAAACAGTAAACGACAAAGCGTAATTGAAGAGGTCTCTTGAAGGTGTGTTGAGAATCATGCCGATAGGTCCAATAGCATAAATCGCGATGACGAAACTGAAAGCAGTCGTGATGCCATAATAATATCTATTGGATAGACTGATGTACACCATAGATGCAAGGTGCAGTATCTGCAGAGGGTGGTCATGTGTGCGGAACGTCCCGGTGAAAAGAGAGATGATAAATGGGGCGAAGTGCATGAATGTCAGCGACTTGGGAAAGCCGGAATCGAAGTATAGCTGTGAAACAAAAAGGGGCAGCGACAAAGACAAGCTGACGAAGAGGAAAGATGTGTAGAACTTGTACACCTTCACGCCACTAGCTGCTCCTGTGCAACAAACAATTTCAATAGGAAACAAATCCATAAGGCATTAAACAAAATTGTTAAAAAATAAGTCAAATTTTACACAAAATGGATGAAAAGTCTTTCGTCTATTTAAGTCATTTTCACGATTTTCCAGTACAACAAATAATTTAATCATTATCATTAGGAAGCGTCGGTGGCTGCAACATTTTAAGGGTTGGCACGGCGCTCATCATTGTAAGATAAACGTCCAGGTTCGAACCCGAAATGAGCGTTTTTATCAAAAACTCTAGCACCCAAAGTGTTTATGTAATCTCATAGTTAAAATACCCTTGCTTAAAAAAATTTTTTTTATTATTCAGAAATCGTGAGATGCGGTCTGGTGTGATGTAGGTTTCAGAAAAACATTCACTCTCAACACGCAAAAATGGCACAGTTACACAGAAGACAAACACTTTGAGCCCTGAAGATGATCTCAATAAAGATCGAAACGATGGCACGAAAAAGAAAATATTTTTTTGAAACCTACATCACACCAGACCGTATCTCACGATATCTGAATAATTATCGATTAACGGTCACTACTCACCACACATTTTTTTAAAATTAAAACGCTTAAATATAATATGCGGTTGATGCTTCTAATCATTCAGCACATCGTACGCAAATTCCGATGACATTTGACAAATACGGAGAGGTGTGGTTTACGGTAAAAGGGGGGCTCAGCATACATCCTTGCAGTCGCCTTAGCACTCGTATTAGCCATTCCGAACACTAAGTGAATATCCGCGCAATCCTCATTCGTGTTATAATCTAGGCATTTTCTCGCCAAACTGTGTTAACACTGATGACGTTCCCAGCCACAATGGCTCATGAATGTCTTGCTTCATTTCATAGAGGATCACAGCTGGACTTTGAATTCCTAGGATCAACATTCATACACATCTGTCTTCCTTCTTTCAAGGGATTTACTAACAAATCAAAACTTTGAAAATCTGTCAAAAATCGTGGCTCCTGTGCGTATGAACTGGCTTGGTCTCAATCTATGTACTATTTAGTTTCCTACAATGTTTAATTCGAAGGGGTAACACTGAAAAAACGTTTAAAAAGTTTGTTTTTTTTCTCGAAAAAAAAAGAGTTAATATATTTAAAAAAACATAATAAATCGAATAGGCTTTTTATAAGTATTTTGAGACGTGGAGCCATTTGGGAGTAATTCATGAAAAAAGCTTAAAAAACACGATTTTTATAGGCTTTTGCGTTTTTCTCACACAAGGCTTCATTTGAGGACCGATGCTTATAGGAAATTTTTCGTTCAGCATGAAATTTCCTATAACATCTAAAAGTATCTATAGTATATATCGTTTGTGCCCACCCTGTATAAGGAGGGAAGTGGGAAGTTATTGTTTGGTAAAGGAAGGAGCGAACGAAGTATAGCCTGCGGTGGGGAGGGACCAGTTCAAGTCAAAGTACATATCATGTCCTTGGGGAGCCGAAAATAAAGTGTACATAACAATTAATTAAGCGCTTAATTCTATCATCCAGCTCCCCACCGAGTCTCCCATACAACACACATCCATAGTCAAAGCGCGGGGGAATACGAGAATTAATTATAAGTTTACGGGTACTAATAAGGAAAAAGGGACTGGCACGACACTATAGAACTGATGGATGGTGGAAAAGCAGTGGCGGGAGATCTAGAAATATGAGGTTTCCAAGATAAGGTCTGGTCAAGTACAGTACCAAGGTTCTTGACAGTGGGACAGAAAGAAATAAGATGAGTGTAAATGGTAAACTGAGGTATAAAAGGTAAGGATTGCAGGACGTAACGAGAACTAAATACAATGGCCTGGGACTTTTCTACATTAAGCTTAAGCCCATTTTTATTGGATCAGGGGCTAATCGAATTTAAGTCCTGCTGAATTTTTTCAATTGCAGCTTGTAAGTCAGTAAGTTACAACTTAATCACACACTTCCATGCACATAGTTGCAGTTCTGGTCCCATGGATAAAACCAGCCCTTTGTTGGCTAGTTGGTCAGCCTGTTCATTTCCTTCTGTACATTCCCGGCCCAAAAACCTCTTTAAGGTAATTTTGTTGTGTTTTTCTAGAGCCATTAGGAAATTTAGGCTCGCCTAAGTAAGTTTGTAGTTGAAATCATACGCATTTAATCTAAACTATGGTAATGACTGTCTGAGAGTAAGTAAACCTGTGCATTTTTCATACTTTTCTTTATCAACACCAGTGACCTGTGCACAGAGATGGGTTTTTTTTTACCAGTCGGCATCCGCTGATCCAATCATAAAGGAACGCGACTTTTATTTTACTAATACTTTATACCAGAATGTCACTTTTGCACGCCATCCCTACAATAGCATCCAGTAGATCCAAATTAGGCATTCTTTGAAGCAAAAGGAACGTTTTTGTAGGAAGTGGCACTACATGTTTGACCACCACTTCCAACAGTTTCCTTCTTCCTCGCGGAAAGGCAGGATATGTTAGAACTACTGTTAACCCGATGGCAGATGTTTCGGTCGGCTAAGCCGATTTTATGCACGTGGTACGGGAACTTATGATTAAATCGGAGCCTACATAATAAAGTCAAAAAACGACTAGGCCAGTTAATTTAAGGCTTAGTTACCTATGCTATATCTGCGTAATACTGCCCTTTACTTGTCTTTTTCCGGTCATATCTTATCAACGGTTTTTTAAAATTTGTTTTACGTGTGAGATAAAATAGTCTGTTGTAATATAAGAGTTGGATTGCAGACTAATTTAATACTGTGATATGTTATGAAATCTCGCAGATTCTACCTATTTTAAGGTCATCATAGGGCAAAATAACCTTAAATATGTCTACAGATCGCCTGTGTTGCGTTTATGTTAATTTATCAGCATGAATGTAATTTATCTGCGTGCAAGGAAAGGTTTGTTTAACGAACACTTTGTATCAAGGTGTATGGTCTTGAAAAAGAAGGCAAATTTACCTGCTTCTCCCAAGCTTTCGACCTATGTTAAGGGCATCATAAGGGCAAAACAACCTTAAATACTTCTAGAGATTTACATATTTAAATTTTTACAGGCGATCTCAAATTTCCTTGAAGAACGATTCATTCCCAACATTGGCAAGGACTGTAACTTATTGTGCGTAAGCCATAGTTGTAAAAACTTAAATATAGACATATTTAAGGTTATTTTGCACTGTTGATGACCTTAAAATAGATCTAAACTTGGCAGCAACAAATTTTTTTTCTTCTTTAAAACCGTACCTTGATCCAGAGTTCTTAAGTGAAAAAGTGGAAAATATTTCTAATACTGAAAACAGATTCTCCTGTGGTCAGTTGAAGCCATGATGGACATGAAAGCTCCAAGAAGGGAAGTGACAGGCTATATCCAAAATTTATTCTTCGTGAAGTTATATTAGACATTTATAGTAAAAACTTTTAGTTTAATTTATAAAACATGTATGTAAAAAAAAAAGGTAAAAAAATCTTATCTTTAAGCACCGAGCAAACAAATAATGGCCACCTCTTTTGTTAAAAGAAGAACTAAGGGGTGGCTTTTAATGATGTTGAGTGATGATGTTGCCATGTTGTGATCATCGTCCGATGATGAATTAATCATTAAATGTCATCGCAGAATGACAAACAGTTACTTGGGCAGATCGACGTCCAGCGTTCACGTGTTTATCGACAAAACAAAATCCTTTTAAACAGATGAGTGTGTTTTTTGTTTTGTTTTTTATAATAAAAACTAAAGTCGTAAAAATTCAATCTCGGCCTACTCACCGTATGCGACAATCCCCAGAATGCCGTTGATGAAATAAAGGACGAAGCCGAGGACGGCGAAAACGCAGTCGGAAGTCTGGGAGATTGCGTAGGCGGAGGAGACGCTCAAGACGGCGTGGGCGATTGCCGTGGAAACGGAGAGAGACATTTCGGCCCGAATTTGCGCATCATTGGACAGCCAGTCGGCGATTATATCATTTTCTAATTTGGTTGGGACCGGTTTTTTGGGGGGGTTTAGCTGTTGTTTTTGATAAAGGGGACTGGAGATTTCGGCTGGAAAACGCAACGGGGTTCAGTAACAAAAACAAACAAGGGGCGGAGACGGTAGAACTGTGCACAGCTGATTTTTGTTTCCCTTCTCCTCCAGTGTCGCCATGTGCTAACGACGAAAATTCCCGTTCAAAGCCTTTACAATTTGGTTTATTTTTATTTTTTAATTTAGAAACTAAGTTTTAAAACTTCACTTATTATTTAAAACTATCAATAGTTTAATAAAAACAATATAAATTTAAATTAGTTTAATCAACATCTTTATATACAACATGTACTTTTTAGATGGACCGGGGCTGAATTTCTCTTGAACCAATGACGCTTTGAAAAAAATACATTTTAATTTCTGTTAATTTAGTTCAAAATTTTTACCTTTTTTGGAGAAAAATTATACAAGGAAACTCAGGCCCAGTTCAACTTCAAAATTTCAAATACGACCCTATACTTTCTGACAAAACATTTTAAAGGATTTTTTCGCTGAATACAATGATGCAATTGAATTTTAAATTGGTCAAAAAATCACAATGTTATGGCCAAAAATTTGAAAAAACGCATTTCTTTAGGTTCATTGTTAATTCCAAAATGCCTGGAAGTAAATTAATTGTACAATAGTACCTATTTGTTACATTTGGTATTCCATTCAAAATTAATCAAAAAGCACATTTTTTCCGATGAACAGCGAGTTGATATGTATGACTCCTTTATTGGTAGGTGGTGGTACTGTGTGTCGTCCAGTCAAGTTGTACTCCCAGAAATAAAAATGTGCTCCTAGCAAAAGGATGCAAAATAAAAATATTATGAACCAACCAATTATCTCAAGTACGAATCCCCTCTGGCAAGAACCAAATTGTTTTCCAAACAAACTTTCAAAGACAAAATACTTAAGTTGATGGTTACCATTAGGAATATTGTTAATGATGGTACATGTGTTATATAATTGCCAAGCTTTTGGCCTCTTTATTTGGCCTTCATCAGGGCTAACCTGTTCCAGGTTGTGTATCCATTGAACAGTTGCTTCGCATTCAACTCAGTAAACTTATTCAAAAACTTTCTCGCACCAAGACAAGTAATCTCACTGCTACAGTTAGAGAGCTAAAATTGGAGGAGTGATAGGACTATTTACCAGTCACTGGCATCTGAGAAAACCTGTACACAACATGGGCATATTCATGATGATCCGACTTTTAGATTATGCAATAAGGAGGTAGAAACAGCCACCCGTATTATCTTTGAAAGCAAAGCAACCACTCAATGGAGACATAACCTTGGATATAAAGAAAAAATAAATTGCAGTAATGATAGTCAATGCATCGTAGGAGAAGGATTAAGTTGATTGCATTGAACCAAGGACTAGGAAAGTACAATAAGTCAGAAGGCTGTAGCGGCTGGGGGAACAAAAACACAACTTCCTAGTATCCATCATCATCAACATCACCCACATCTGGGCTAGGAGGTATGATTATTCTTTGAATAGAGTTATAAACTTGACATTTAGTCTGATGAGTAACATTATATTGAAGAAATAATAGGGACCAGATTCAATTCAACCATAATTTAGCAGTTGAAATTTTGGCAGTTAAATGAGCTGATACGTAGGTGTCTTCCTAAATACTTATAATTGTTTATTATATTTCTCTATACACAGTTTATGCAGTAATTGTCCCTTAGTTTTGATATGGTTTGATGTGGCCCATGTTAGCTTTTGATCTAAATATAATCCTAGGTAAAGGAATAGTGTTATCTTTTTATGTTTGAAAATTGAGTCTAGTAAAAAAGATGGGAAATGCTTTAATTTATGGTGTGTAAAACAGAGTACTGCAATTTTTATTATTACCTCTGAAATATAACTTTTGAATTTATTAAATGTTGTAACATATATTTTTGTATCTATCGAATAAGCTGTACATTAACAAAATCATTTAAGTAAAGTAAATTAATGGTTAAAAAAAATTGTATATCATTATATGTTTTAACTCTGTGAAAATTAAAGATGACTACTTACATTATCAATAATTTATTTTTTAATGTAGTGTCAAAATAAGGTAAAACATTGTGATAATAAAAAAGATGCATTGCAGCAGAATTTAATAAATTTATCGTTTTAATTCTTGAGTTTGGTAATTATATGAGTCAATAATTACCCTATAATTCTGCATAAATTAAATATTAAGACACTTTTCATTTTTTAAACAGAAACTCCACAGATGCTAATTATTAAAACACATGTCACACTATCAACACGAAAAGTGAAAAATCATGTCTAACAAAGATAAACAACATTTATAAAACTACATTCACACCAGTTCACACCAACTCACAGACACAATGCCACACCTCTCAAGGTGGTTCGCATATACCGCCCTCCTCGGTGGGGGCATTGCCGGTATAATTATGGCTGAAGGAAAGAAGATTGCAATGTGTGGATTTGCTTTGTATGCCATACATGGGGCATTCGGTTTTTTAGAAATCCGTAAGTAAATCAATCTAGGCAAAAGACTAAAATCACTTAATCAAAACAATTCTTTTTTTTGTTTTAGTTACAAACAATGACACATTTTATTCATTGAATAGAGACTACACAGTCGTTCTATCATCAGCCCTGTGTCAAGGTTTAATAACAACAGACTACTGCATTATGTCAGGTCTCGAAGCAAAAAAATCATGTGGCTTGAATTTGGTCTGCCCAGTACTTTATCTATTGGTGGTGTTAGTATTTGTTTTATCATAATTGAAACCATAAAAGTACTTTTAAAAAAAACTAATTTACATTATTTGTTTTAGGTATATCATAAGAAATGGTGACTTGTACTTTATCGGAGATCTAGGCCATGGAATAAGCTGTGTTGTGTGTGCATACTACGGCTTTGATAAAAGCCAATACATGGCATATATTGTCTCGTTATTTTATGTCATCATACATTTTTCAAAACTGTATTACAATGAGTCGTGGATTCTGGCTGGAATAACGTCCTTCTGTGCTGGTATGCTTCTGGCAGGAAAAGATTTCAGCACACTATTCAAATAACTGGGTTTTGAAACAAATTATCATGTTGCAATTTTTGTGTGAAAAAAAAGAAGTTTACTTTTCAATGCCAAACACCACAAATTCATGGGAATATAGGAAATTTAAAGAGATCAACTGTTTAATTAGTGAAAGAAAAGGCTTATAAGAAGAGAAAGAGCTACTTCAGTTATGCCCAGTGAAGTTATGTTAATAATGCACCATAATGAAATAAAGAGCTGTGAAAACATGGATGCACCATAATTTTTCAAAACAAAAAACATAAAACAATAAAAAACAATTTATTTAACATTGCCTAGCCTGGAAATTTCTTAAACTTAATTAGAAATTCATTTTAGTAGTTGATTTTAAAAGAAAAACTATTTTTTACAAATCATTTGTAATACAGAAATGTGAAAAACTAAATGAAATAATGAAGGATTAACAGAAAAAACTTAAATGTTTTGGTTATAGCAAACTAATTTGAAAACAAAAATAATTCAAAGAAAATATATGTACAGATATTTCCTCGTTACATACTATAACTATAAGAAGAATCTTAATTATTTGTATTTGTCTTTTTTCTTTTCTTTAATTTGGTATTACATTTATTACATTTTGATTGTTTTTATTGTAGCTACACTTTTTTCCTGAATTATTATCAAGCAATGCAACCTAGATAACCAAGAGTGCTGTGCAGCTTCTTTTTTGTATATATTAATTTTGTTTATTAAATCTAAACTATTATCTCTAGTAAATATAATAAAAGCCATGTATTTATAATAATACAAGTTTGTTTATTAAATTTACAGTAAATCTAGTTTTAAAATTATTATTACTTGTATTATTATAAATACATGGCTTTTATTATATTTACTAGAGATAATAGTTTAGATTTTGTGGTTTGGTCATCATGCAGCCTTAAACGAACCTGCCAGTATCATGTTAATTAGATTTTCCAATATAGTATGCAATTATACACAAGAAGTTGATTAAGGTCAAATCTAAAGTACAGGTAAATGAACTGGCTGATGAGCTAACAAAGGCAGGAGCAGCCCTCATTCCCATTGGACCAACAAACAGAACAACAAGTTGGTGCGTCCAAAAAAACTGCTGAGAGCGAATCTGAATAAAGGGTTGATAAAGAAATGATCCTGGGGTGACCCAGGTGGCTGCAACGGTTTAGCCGTTGACACGGCACTCATCACTGTAAAGTAAAGGTCCGAGGTTCAAATCCAGCGGCCCTACATTCGAAGCAGGCACATTATTTTTCTCCAAAAATACCAGCACCCCAAGAATTCATATAACCTCATAGTTGAAATGCCTTAAAACCTCTCTCTCACTCAACCACTCATTCAGTAGGCGAGTTTTGGATAAAATAATAGATCTTTATGTCAGCCATCGCCCATTTAAACCATTCTCACCACTACCTCAAAAAATTTGGATAAATTGAGACAGAAACCAGAAAGGCGAAGCAAGACACTGAAGCATGTCCCTTAATGACAAAAACTTTGGCCCAGAAACAGGACAGACTTTTCGGAAAGGCTAATGTGATACCTAAAGAAATAAGTAAAGAACAGCAAAAAGTGTTAAAACTACCTAAAGTTGGGAAGAAAGAAGGGTCAATTTCACAATAGATCTTTTAGGTCGCAGTGGAAGAAAGAGTTGCTTTGATCACCAGTGAACCTGATGGGGGGATACAGTTTTTTTTATTGAATCTTTCACTATACAGGTCAATGCTGTATGCTGTCAAACGATTATATAATTTTTCCATATTATCAGTTAAACAGCTCATTTTCCATAATGGCATGAAAAAATAAATTTAGAATCTTCTATAATCAAACAGATCTATGAAGAAGATATCATCCAATAGTAATAATATAGCTAATTAATCACTTTATAAAGAACAAAGAAAATATTTTTGTAATTTATTTATTATAAACATGTAAAAAATCAACAGTTTTCTTAAAATACACTTTATATGTAAAATGATCAAACATACAAAAATTATTTATGCATACATCATTAAAGTAATGCATACTGACTATACAGTATATTTCTTATTTTGAAATAGTTATCTGACACACATCCTTCGAGCTCAACTTTCCTTGATTGTGTTCTCTTAATGGATATCGTTTTGCTGCAACACCAAAGAGCACCACCTGAAAACTCACAGTCGAAGCCTTTTTTGCTCAAGTATTGCTTGAGGTCAGACAGCTTGAGCTCGTTGACAAAGACGGACTGATGGGGATTAACATCACGCTTTGGAATCGGCTCCAAATTAAGTAGTTCATTATTCAAAAGGCTTTCCGACGATGCATTCTGACCTGACTTTTGTGGTTCTGTGACTACTGCGTCCAACCATACTAGCTCCATGTCTTTGCCTTTCTGCAGCTTAAACGAAGAAGCGAGAGAGTCGGTCAAACGAATTTGATAAATGTGAGTCTCTGAAGTGACATCAATTATCTCACCTTTTTTCGGTGTAAAGACTTCGGCGTCGATCTTTGTCTTAATACATTTTGCAAGTTTGTCTGTTATTTCGGGTGAACCCCTGATAAGAATGACTTTCCTTGGTTGTAACTGCGTGATCAACTGCTGGACTGAGAGTCCATCACTCCTTCCTTCAAAGTCTATAAATTTTATCTGGGCCTTTACATCAATTGTCTGCTTGTAGGCAACACATTTAGTCGGGCATTCACCTTTAATCTGAACGATCTCTTTTTTCTTCTTGGATGGCTTCCCGTTCGGCTCGGAATTCTTGTAATCTTCAGTTTTGACCAGTTCCCCATATTCATCAGATTTCATCTTTTTATCTATGTACGGGTACATAAGGTAATACCTGCGATGCCTCTTCCTTCTCTCAGGTTTCACCATCAAATCATGAACTCCAGTGACAATGTTAACAAGTTGGAGATCGTCCTCATCCTCTGAACTTTCTTTCTGCTGATAATTTTTGCTCTGTTGATGTTTTAAATAAATCTCAAGCTCTTTGCCTTCGAGTTTTATTCTTTTTTTAATGTCCAGAGTTATCGTCCTGTTAGAACCGTTGTCGATCAGATCTCTTCCCAACGAGCCTTCGAAACTCTTTGATGTCATTATTATAGTATTCTCAGGATCAGAGGCCCAGTGAATGAAAAGCTCTCTGGCAAAACCAGTTTCCAAGTCTGGCATACTGGCTAAAATGACTTTGTTACTCACCAACTTATTCACCTCGTTGAGACTATGGCACGTTCTCAGGTGCTTGAATTGAAACGGATTTTCTCTCATAGACTCAAAGCATTTCAGAAGTTTGTCACTCATCCATTCTATCTGCGACTTTGCAAATTCTACAACATTATAGCTGACATTGCTAAGAAGGCATAAGGGATAAACTTGCAATCCAAAATTTTTATTTCTCCACAGTTGATCTAGCATATGGACTAACTCAAGAACTCTACCTGCAGTGTCAACCGTAATCAAAACGTTACCGTTGTTTCTCAGGGTTTGCAAAATGTCGGCGATCAGTTTCTCGTCCCTCGCTCTCCTCCTTGCCTGCTGATACGTACCATTGTAAGCGTCTGTTATGAGAAGAGACGGTCGTTCCAGCTTCTCAAAGTCGCAACCATTGAGATGCCTCTCTTTCTTATGGTTGAAGTCAGTGGCATATATGATGTCCTCCTCTCCTGTCTTTTGAATTTTCCAGATGGTGCCACCGATCATGTGGCCGGCTGGCATGGGGATAATGCAGAGGCCACAGCTCTTCTTCATCATCACCCTCTGGTTGTACCTCAGCTGGACCATCTTGTCGAAGGAAGCATCGACATCGTCCAGATTGAAAACGTCAAAGTCCTCTTCGTTGTGTCGCCCCTGGTAAAAATCGTACATGAACATCTGGCCCATTTTGTAGACGGGGATGGTCGCGTAAACTGGGCAGCTGAGTCCGCATTTCCCGACTAGGTACGGCAACGCTCCGAGGTGCAGATTGTCCGGGTAGCTGATGAGGACCGCGTCTATCTGGTTGACATACCTTTTCAACTCTTTCAAGTATTCTTCGTCGAACTTTTCGTTGAGACCGCATTCTAAAAGGAAACGAAAATCGTCGATTTGAAGCAAATAGCACGGCGGCGTGTTTTCCGTCGCGCCTGAAATCGACTGAAATTTAATTATGGAGGTCATTTTGGTAAGGATTGGTGTGCTTTATTAACTCATCAAATTTTAAATCTTTAGACGTCGAGAACTTAAGGGAAAATGAACAATAAGCAGATAGCAAATAAATGCTGGATTTGCTGATACATCGATGCTAGAACCGTGTAGGTTATTCTGTTCGAATTTGAAAGAAAAACCCTTACTGCAACGGAACATCGCCATTGCGTTCCACGTGCGACAATCCTACCTGGTGCATCCCTAACAACCTAATTATTAAATATTAAATAATTACGTAATTGTTTAAATAAATATTTTTAAAAAGTATAGTTTCTGAGAACATTTATTATATTACAAAATTTTGTTAATGATTATAGCAGAACTCGGTGAGCAATAGAACAAACTACCAAACAAAAGTTGTGAAAGTTAAACTGTAATTTACTTTTTATTTTATCATACACAATCCAATATAACATTTTTTCTATAAATTAGGTGAAGGTCATATCCCGAATAGTCAGTGAAACATCCAAAATCTACAAAACCTGGGAAAACATAACAACCTGACAATATCTGGAGTGCCAGGGCACAAAGAAATAATTAGTAATGAACAAGTAGAAAAACTGGCCGGAAAATATGCAAAACCATATGTACGCTCAACATCTACATTGGGATAACAAGACACCCCCAACTAAGAAGGATTCACAAACAACAAAAAGGGAAGTAGACGAATTCCAGAGATGCCAGACATGGTAAACTCGCCAGAACTGACAAACACATTACTACAGTTAGACAGGATAAACCTCAGGTAGTAATAGATCTAAACACCAGTCATTTACTTCAGAGAAAACACCTACACAACATGGGTGTATTCAGTGATGACCCAATTGTAGATTATACAATGAGAAAAAAGCAACTGCCGCCCACATCATCGTGAAATCCAAAGCAACTGTCCAATGAGATATAAACCTGTATACCAAGAAGGCCCAGAAAGAAGACTTACAGCAATGAAGCAGTGACAATTAATGACCTAGTATTTCTTTAAAGAGGATCAAGCCAATTGAATTGAACTAAGGTACTGGGAAAATTATAATAAGCCAAAAGACATAGGTAACATCAAATAACAGCTTCCTAGCATCTTATCATCATTGTAAATCTTAAGGGATTCAAGAATGTAGGGGGAAAGAGCAATTAAATGCTAGATTTGCTGCTGTAATGACACTAGACCTCGTAGGTTATTCTGGACAAATATTTCAAATTGAAAAACCCTACTCCTTTATCTCAGAATTGGTATACAAAAAGAAAAGAAGTGGATGAACTGATGATGACACAGTAAACTCAACAAAATTGGCAAATGCATTAGCATAGTAGACACAATAATTGTCAGGTGAGTAAAAGATGTATATACCGATCACTGATTTCTGAGAAAACACGAACACAGCATGGGTTTGTTCAATGATGACCCTAACAGGATATGCTATGAGAAGGAAGAAACTACCTACCATATCATCGTCAAATGCAAAGCAATTGTTCATTGTTCAATCGAGACTTAACCTTGGATAACAAGAAGGTTAATTTTTTTTTGTTTTCTTGATGCAGCCATGAAGCAACAACAGTCAATAACCTATTAATTTTTAAATTGAGGTCCAAGAAATTGATACTGCACTTAGATTCTAGGAAAAGTATAAAAAGCCAAAATGCTGCAGTGCTTGGGGAATACCAAATCCCCAGTTCCTAGGACACCATCATCAGTACAAATTGATGTCCTGTTAAACGTTTCAAAATTGAACATACTAACAGTTCAATCAATATTAATTTCCCAAATTGGAAAATACCAACATAATTTTTTTCTTAAATACAATTGCGTGCATTCAATTAATGCAATGAAAATTATTCAATTATTATTTCAAAACGAGTACACTATTATTGTTTCATTATTTAAGTCCGATATCACATGTATAAGTTGTAAAACTTTCTCATGTAAACCACATGGTTTTTAAAATTTGAAATGTTATCTCTTTTTTGGCTAAAATTTGTTGAAAACAAAATTTTCATTCACAAAAAGTCATTACTTATTCACTAACAGAAATGACTAGCGCTGAGGAGTGTTTCTGTGCAGTTCTATTGTGGAACATGGCAAATTATAACCTATATATAATGAAAAATCTCTACAAGTTGGAAACACTCGTCTACTGCACTTATATATGCTATGCGTTAAGTATAATTTACAGATGTAGTAAGTAACACTAGAAAGTGGGAAGGAAAAAAAAGTTGTTTACTATTCTTATTAATGAATTCCAGTTTTCTCAAGTAGGTCAGCATATATTAATAGCCAATGTTTGAACACATTGGCAAATGTACTGCCATGTAGCATACTATCTTATGAATATGCCAAGAACTGTGGAGTTTCATACGCTTCAATCTTATTGGTCCTTCCTATTATGTTCATGTTCCAAAGGTAGGATCATTAGAACGTTCGGCCCTTGTGTTATTTAATATTCTCTTTAAAGGATTTCAGGTAAACATGAATACATGTTTGAAAACAATGTGCCCATTGTGGATCTCGCTCACATCATGTCTCTTTGCTGTATGATATATGTCGGTGGTGGGCGTAACGATCCATTGGCTTTATTGACTTCAGCTTCCTTCGCTATTCTGCATTTTTCACTTAGGGATTTGATGGAAATTGAAAACACACTTGTAACTGTACTCGTATGCTTTTTCGGTGGAAGACTCCTTCAGCAATTTCAGTAAAACTTCAAGACATTAAAGTAATTTTTTCCCCAGAAATGGTTTATCGAGTATTTTGGTTTTAGTAATAGTAAATAGTATTAAGTATGTAATTATTTGTTTTACTTTTTTGTTATACTAAATTATGTTTTTTTATATAAGCATATGTTAAATAAAAAATAAATGATTTTTTCAAAATATATATTCATTTTCCAGTGTTAAAACAAAAACGAACAAATAATTACCAAAGATTTTAATGATGACTAGGGTAAATGGTAATTGTTTGTTCTTTTTTGTTTAAACACTTTGGAAAATGAACATATATTTTGAAAAAGATCATTTATTTTTTATTTAACATATGATTAATTTAAAAAAATTTTAGTATCCATTTCTTTTTTTTTCTTATTTCATTGGATCAAATAATTTGTTATTAATTTTATCATCTTTTAACCAAAAGATGTAAATTGCACATACTTTGTTGATCTTTCTTATACTTGTCAAATTCTATTCTCTTTTCTTGTTTCCAATTGACTGCAAGAAACAAACAACCTTCGATTATTAAATTTCTTGGATGTGTTGGTTTAAGGAATTTAACCCCTGTCCCAATATATACAAAAAATTGGATTATGAAACTATTTTCCATATGTTTTTTTATATAATTTATAATTCCATAATTTATAATTTTACGGCAGCTCAAAGATTATGGTATAAAATGTTTATGTATGTTTCTGCTGTCACGATAGGACAAGATTGTTATCCTCATTGTCAGCTACACATGCCCAGACTATCGTTTGATCCCCTCCATGTTTGACTGAACTTGTGAAATGAAGGGCTTTTTCTTTGGTATCCTTACATGGAAGTCAGCATTATACAGGATTTTTTATTGCCAACTCACTTGTTTTTGAGAAGTATATTCCACCTTATTGGCTAATTTTGGTTTTATATGGTTATTTTATTTAATTAATTAATTAATTTTTTTTTAAATGACAGGGGCATCCGACAGCTTGGTCATTTCAGCCCCGAAGCTCTAACAAAATATGGCTACACACTCTATACCCAATTGCACCAATAAGTACATTCATACCTATATAAATTGTACTTTTTGGTAGATGGAGTACTTGATATTCCTCCATCTACCTGTTCACTACAATAAACTAATCTAATTTGGGGTTGATGGGGTGCTTTAAAAGTTTTCAGCTGTAGACCCAAATCATGCACGCAACATGAGGGGTGATGGAGATGCTACTTCACCATCAGCCCCATTCACACCAATAAATACATTCACACCAACATACATTGATCACACTCATTCTGTTTGGTAGATGGGAGTACTCGATATTCCTCCATCTACCTGTTTCCTATAATAAACTAATCTAAATTGGGGTCGATGGGGTATTTTTATAAAATTTCCATCATCAGCTCATCATTCACACAACCTGAGAGGCAATGGAGAAACAACTTCACCATCATCCCCTCCCCATTCACACCAATAAATACATTCACTCATACAAAACACAGAAACACAAAACATATAACTTAACTTCTATATACAATAAAAAAAATCCCAATTCCCTCAAAAAGCGAAATAGGGGACCCTGAAACTTGCTACCGTGTCCGAGAACCATTCTTAAATCCGGCGGCAAGCCTACACGGTCTCTGTATGGAGCCAAGGCAGACATGTCTCTATTATGTGGGACACATTGAACAACCTTTCTCTCCATAGGGGGCACCTGTGCAGGCTTATTGTTATTATTATTTTACATATTTTATATTTCTATATTGAAATTGGATTAATTCCGTAAAATATATTATCTGAACCTTTACCTTAGGTGGTGATAGAGAACACAGGGCTTGTCAGGATAAGATATAAGACCTCAAAGTAGCGACCAGACAGAAATCTTATTGGCTAATTTTTTTTTATATTGTTTTATTTTATATCTTGTATACTTTATATTTAAATATTTTTGTAAATTGGATTAATTCCATAAAATATATTATTATTATATATATTAACATATAATATATTATTAACATTCAATTGTTATTTTTCAACTCTGCTAGAATGTTATTTAAAAATCTGGATATATCAACGTAAAGCATATTAGATGAAGTTTTTGTAAAATTTGACAAGTTGTAGGTATTGTTTGTAACCTGAGTAGAACGTGCAATCATGATCAAAATTTTAAATTTTGTAATTTTGACATGTTCCAACTGATATTGATTACATTTTATGTCATTCAGATTATTGCAAAGAAGTATCTTACAGCAAATTTAGCATTCTTTCAAATGGTGTAATTGGATTTGTTGTAGTCTCAACATTTTGGAAGTTGTAAGCGTTTTTTTATGGTAAGGTAGAGAAAAATTGAAAAAACCTAAATTGACGAATATCTTCAAGATAGAGAACTTTCCGAAAATTTTCTCCTGAGCATTTTTTGCTCCGAACGAAGAGTAGAATCAATTCCCTGAGTTTCATAAGAGAGAACTGGGTCACCCAGTATATTTAAATATTTTTGTAAATTGGATTAATTCCGTAAAATATATTATTATTATTAAATGACTGGGACCTTTACAACTGATGGTGATAGAAAACACAGGGCTTGTCAGGATAAGATATAAGACCTCAAAGTAGCGACCAGACAGAAATCTTATTGGCTAATTTTGCTTTTATACTTGTATTTTATATATTGTATATTTCTATATTTAAACATTTTTGTAAACTGAATTGATTCTGTAAAATATATTATTATTATTATTATTAAATGCCTAGAACCTATGCGTCAAGATGTTGATGTTGTTGTTGTTGATGGAGAACACATGGCTTGCCAGTTTAAGATTAAGACCTCAAAGTAGCGACCAGACAGAAATCTTATTAGCTAATTTTGCTTTTATACTGTTGTATTTTATATATTGTATATTTCTATATTTAAACATTTTTGTAAATTGGATTAATTACGTAAAATATATTATTATTATTATTAAATGACTAGAACCTTTACCATAGGTGGTGATAGAAAACATAGGGCTTGTCAGGATAAGATATAAGACCTCAAAGTAGCGACCAGATAGAAATCTTATTGGCTAATTTTTCTTTTGTATTATTGTATTTTATATATAGTATATTTAAACATTTTTGTAAATTGAATTGATTCTGTAAAATATATTATTATTTTATTAAATGCTTAGAACCTATGCATCAAGATGTTGATGTTGTTGTTGATGGAGAACACGTCTTGCCAGTTTAAGATTAAGACCTCGAAGTAGCAACAAGACAGAAATCTTATTAGCTAATTTTGCTTTTATACTGTTTTATTTTACATATTGTATATTTCTATACTTAAACATTTTTGTAAATTGGATTAATTCTGTAAAATATATTATTATTATTATTATTATTAAATGACTGGGACCTTTACCATAGGTGGTGATAGAAAACACATGTCTTGCCAGGGTAAGATTAAGACCTGGACGTAATGACCAGACAGAATTCTTATCAACGCTCATTTGCAGTTCAGCGAATGAGTCAAGTAATTTGAGAATATTTTCGTATCATCTGCTGTACTGATTTCATAGTCAATTTTATAATTTATATCACTGATTTTGTGTAACTACAAGACACTACTGATTCGTACGGTGCATCCATAGTGGGACGCTGCAACTCATGGACTGGGCGGACCGAATAAACTTATAAAAAATGTTTGTTTTTTATCTTTGAAACAGTTGAAAAAGGCGGTTTGACCGTGATTCGTGTCCTCCTAGTGGAACCAGGACGAACTAAGGATCCACCGGTCCTTGAGAGATGTCAGAGTTGTTTGGAACTTTGGACTTTAAGAGTCGGGGGCAGCCGGAGTCGAGGTTGTCTGTTGTCTTCAGTTGAATCCAGGTTCCGCGAAGAATGACCGTTCGGTCGTGATATTCCCTTCGGATTTCGATGCACATCGTTCAGATCGTAGTGCTTTTTTCATCTTCCCACGATCGAGTCGTACAAGTGGCCGTCTCGCGAATTCGCATCCCGGGTTAAATGAGTTTTTCGTTCTGTGATAGTACTTTCGCTGGGAGATGGACCCCTACGTGCAGAAGCTGAACAACCTCTCGTTAAACGAGGCCGACGCTGCCAAGAAGTGCGCGGCCGACAACTACGGTCGAATTATGTCAAAACAGGCCGAAGTTTACAACAACGGTCACTCCAGCAACTTCGACAGGGGTTCGAGTTCGGCGAAGTTCGGCCAGAAGATGGACTCTTTGGGAAGCGGCCTCAGCTCCATGAGCATCAGTGATAAGCAACAAGACATTCCAAATCGTTACCTGTCGTACGCCAACGGAGTGCCCAACCAGCCTATAGACCACAACAAGTATTACAGTGCATATCTCAAAGGGCCTACGAGCCCTACTCACAGCAACAGCGGCTCTAGCAGGGACTCAAACAGTCCCAGAGGGAGCATGGCCCAGTATGAGGTGAAGAACTCTCCTCTTTATGAGAACTTAGACTACTACGGGGGTCGAGCCATGCCGCAGACCCCTGCGTATTACCACCAGTTGCATTCCAGCCCACATTCCAGTATGAGTTCACAAGACTCTAAGCACTCGAGCCCTAGAGCGAGTTACGTCTCTGTGGAAAACCCTTATGAGAGCACTTACAGGAAAGCTCAACCTCAGGTTCCGGTAGGTGTGAAATACAGTTATCCTCCGTATGAGGCTCCTCCCGTTTATGAGAATGTTCAAGAGCTGAAGAACGAAGGAAGGCAGCCCTACTTCGGGGAGCAGAGGCAGATCGCAGTCGCCTTGACGACTCCTACATCGTCTTACCTGCCTCCTCCTTATCCCAATCAGACCAAGTCCATAGGGCAAGTGTCTAGGATCGAGAGCAAACCGTATCATCCCAAGTCGGTCGGTGTGAGCTCTCGGTCGGTACCAAGTGGACAGACTTCCCTTGCTACGAGCTACCAGAGAGGAATGCATGCCGGAGTGGCAGGAGGTCCCACAACCGGTATCGCAAGCAGTCCTAGGCCAGTGGCTTCGTCTCCTGCTCCGACCAGCCCAAGCCCGACTCCTTCGACTAAGCCTTCAGGCAAAAATCTCCTACCGTACAATGTTACACCACCAAGACCAATGGTAAGTGTCATAAGTTTTTATCTATCATTTATGAAATATTTACAAAGATGATATTTTTGTGATATGAATTTTGTGCACTCGAGATTTCTCAATTTAAGCATGTAATGACTTTTCAGGCATATGCTTTAATATTTTAATGGTTTCGATATTCAACTTTTACTCTTATTTCATAATCAATAGGTATAATCATAATTATTCTTAGTTCATTTTTTCAGTCATTAATGTTTACAAATAAATTGACATGTTTCTTCATGTGTTTTGTCTATACTAAAAAATAAATTAATTAATAGGATATTAACAATATAAAATAAATTTGTTGAAGAAGTTCACTTGTTATTTTCCAAATCTATCATTGAAGAAAAGACAATCAAAAAAAGGACGAGGTATAATTAAAAAAAAAAAAAAAAAGGTTAAAACTAAATGACACAATAATGGCTAATGCTTTATGTCAGACTGGTATAATCAATTTTTACAATGTTGTTATCATCCCCTTTCGAAGAAATTGTTATTAATTTTCTATGAATAATTTGAAATCTTTGATCATGATGCAGCTTTATTTTTGGATTTTCATTGTTATTAACATACACATACACATAATATAACATGTATTATTTTTACTGGTTTACTTTAGATTGGCATTTGCTTTAACTGTCATACTTGTACAACATAAATCTAACTCACTCTGCATCAAAAATTTCACTTGCTTGGTGTACACTTCATCCAGTCTCCTTTCATCGACTTGTGACAATAAAATTAATGTTCCAATTTTCTTGAATCTCAAAGGATTTATGAAACTTAATCATTTCATTTTAAATGTTCTTCGCAAGCAATACTTTATAACAGGATATTTTCTCTTTATCATTTATGTAGGTGAATTATAAAACAGTAATTGTACAATTCAATATTTATTACCTTTAAGGACTCAATGAAATTATTTTTACCTTGTGTCAAATGCCCTGGTACTTACACTTAAGCACTACATCACAAATTTGTTATTAGAGTTGAATTCTGAATAGTAAATCATATCGAGCGACAGACAGAATATGTGTTTTCAGTGTGATCACAGATTGATCATAAGTTGATATTTTACTTGGTCATATTTTTTTTTTATAAATGGGTTTTTAACTAGGAATTCACTTAACTTGGTAGCAACCAATCCAACTGGGAGCTTATGGCTCAATTGGCTTATTGATATCAACAAGTCAACTTAATATCTAAGTAATGGTAAAAAGTTTCTTATACGAGGGCCCTAAATGGGCCCATAAACTTCGGTATGCTTAACCAAATAATATTGTGAATTAAAAAAAAATGCATTAGACACAATTTCATATTTAATTTAAAATTCAATTTAAAGGATCTAATAACTCTCCAAATCTGTTTTATTTTCACAATTTAATATAATTGAGGCAGGTAGCCCTAAAATAGGATATTTCCTTTAGGATAACTATAGCACCATTAATTTCTTTTGTTGGTGAAAAATAATTATTATTTGTTTTATTTTAATTATGATTTTACTATTAGTGTATACATGATGTTATACAATAAAAAGTTCATGAATTTTTTTTTTTTATGCTGGATGTACATTTGGTCTTGGATTTTGTAATGGATATAGGTTTTTAAAAATTTTAAAAATTTTTTTAACCCATCCACCACCCCACGAGATTATATTGGATATAGCTACATTATTGAATTTTTTGTTTTTTCTCTCCATAAATCAAATAGTAAAATTCATAATTATACATTTTAAATTGATATTTAGGTGAGGTAACCGATACCTTACAATATTAAAATATGTCATATTCTGGCATTACTACATTATCCTACTAAAACGGTTTAATTTTTCATTTGTTTTAAATATAAATATATAGTGTATTGTGTACATTATTAGAAGAGGTTTTCAGTCAAAATCACTTAAGGAGGGTTTATTAAATGAAGTGGTGAGGAGTGGTCAGAGGTTAAGGGTTTATGACCAAAATATTTACTCATTTGCTTCATTTACTAGAATGAAATATTGAATCATAAAATCACACTTTTTAATTGATATAATAATTAGTTTTATTTGTTGGCCAGCTCTCAAATGGGTAATTACCTGTAACCATAACCATCCCTAACCGTATCCCTATCTTGTCTTTGATGATTGGAAGAGGGTTAGGATTAATTCAATTCTAGATAAGTTGATTAATTGCTTGATGCAAGGTATTTTTTAAAAACTTTTTGCTGTGAATTGCTAACAGATGGTGAGTCAGGAGGTCGAGCAAGCCTCCTTTTTTAACGCAGTCGTGAGATTTAGGTACATGGTAGGATTATGTGAGCTTGTCGTTACTGTACGATATCTTAATATTTGCTTGTCTTAAGCGTCTTAAGCTATTTACACCGGATTTAACATCTTAAGCTATTTTCACTGGATTTAACAGAATTAGGCTTTTTTGCCTCTGGTAGCTAAATGTGCTTCAACTGTATTGTTCTGTGACAACTTACCATTCCTTCAAAATCGACCATTGCAGAAAAATAGTGAGGGGTTAAACTATTTTGATATATTTGTTGCTACAATTTTATCACGCGTAGATTTTATCTAGGATTGTAGGCTTAATCCGATCATGATGGTCCACATATTGTCGCTGTTTCAGTCAAAAGTTCGACTTCCGCCATCTTCTGTTGGTATCAACTTTTGGAAAGTGTTTTTTAAGAATTTGAACTTTCTTCCCTTTTGGTGTACTTCTGTGAATACAATAGCTTCCTTCGAGAACACATGAAAGTTCAGTAATTTTTTTAACCTGACCTGGGAAGATACGGTGTTAGTACATACACGAATTGCTTGGATGTTTATTGACCATTTTTTTCTTTGTTTTATTTTATTTCTTTATTTTTAAGATGAAAATAGATTCTGTCTTCTGATCTACTCAACTATAGTTTTTCTTTGTTCTATGTCTCATTTTTATAAAGCTCTATGTTCTCCGATGTTTGTAATTGGTTTTGAGTGTAGTTTATATTAACCAGGTTAAATCATAATACATAATTTTCATTTAGGTCGATTATTATCTTAAAGAGTCTTCTTCCTCCAAAGTAAACTTCTTTTTGGCTTTAAAAAAAAGACTGAGTGACTTAAGAAAGACTTAAGTTCGACTGAGAGAATTGCTTTCAGTATTGTTGATGTTTTTTGGTCTGCTTTTTCTCGCCAGCTATTTCCTTTGTATTTTTGTTTGCTCTTCGTCGTTATACATTTTACATTAGGTAAATACAAACCAATGATAGGAGGGAATGCAAGGCACCACAGAGTGACTCTTGCTTACTAGTCACTCGGCAGACCTTGGCCTGGGTTATTGCAAAGATCGTTCTCCACCAAGGTTGCCTTATACACGGACGTGGAACTGATTCATTCCAAATACCCTACTGCCGACGTTTCCCAATGTTTCGGGACCTTCGTAAAAAAGAAAGATTTTGCACGGCAGTTCGAGGAAATTAGACATTGATTAATCCAAACCGACCTGAAGAAGATGTAGTCATCTCGCCGAAAACATTCCGTCTATGTTCAATTCTGTTAACCCCCAGTTGTTAAATAATAATATTTACATTAAATATTTTGTTTACGTTGTATAAACAGTGTTTTCAGTGATAGAAGCTGTTCGTTTTTCGAATAATAGTCTCAATGCTTGCATAATTATGATTATCAATACACGTACGGGTTTTTTTATTCTTCTTTTTTTACAACTAAATATATAATAACTAAACGGTTATATACATATAAACAATAACATGGAAGCATGAACAGCAACCATCCAGTGATGGATGCCGTTCATACATCAACATGATGAGTGACTCTATCCTAGGAGTCCGAAGTAAAGTAGTGAGGCTGTCGCGTAGCTCCGACGCGCCAGTCCTCTGTGAGGATTATTAGGTAGCGTGGTGAATGACAGGTTTTTACGAAAGGTTCGATGATGGGAACATTGTTGAAATATATTCGTGGGAGGGGTTTCCTTTTTAGGGTGAGTATTATGTAAGCTAATTTAGTTTTGTTAATCTTGATTCTCCATAGTCGGAGCCAGGATTCTAGGATGTATCATCGGCAATGGTGAGAGTGATAGTGTTCGGTTGGGTACGTAGGACGGAGGTATAAATTGATTAAAACATAGGAGCAAGGACGCTGCCTTGTCGGACACCTGCTAGAGTAGGATGACAAAAATTTCCAAAGGGTAGGGAAACTGGTTGTGCATAGGACTACATTTGGATAGGCAGTTTTTGGAGATTGTGGCTTTTTTTAGGCAGTTGGGAAAGGATGATGGGAATGATTAGGAATTTTTTGAATTTATAATATGTTGAAGTATCTCGAGGTGTTTAGCCCTTTAGAATTATGGTAGCACCGGTGAGCCCTAGTTTATAATGAACTTGATTAGTAGGACCAGTGGAGTCGATTTTTTTCGTACGGTAAGAAAATAATATGCAGGATCAAATGAAATAGATAGAAAAAACGTTACAAGAACCTAAATACGCTTCCAGGGCAAGAAATTAATTTTTACAAAAACAATTCAGATTAGTTTAAAGTACTCATATAAGTCTTTAAAAACTTATTTTTATTGAAACAGATCATTTTTGGTCTGAATGAGTTGGGAGTAATTTTTTTCTCCTATCGCCGGCGTAGAACATCTAGATTTTATATAAGTCAAACGTTATTCAGTCGTTGAAAAATTGAATTTACCTTTTTTTCAGCTTATTTCAACAACGTTTAGATTCTATGTCATTATAAGTGAGAGAAATAAGCTGAAATATACAAAAATAGTTAGTTTACATCTCTAGTTTTAATTTATTTACATAGGCCAAGTTTATGCCCATTAGGTAGAGTTCGTTGGGCTCAAAACCACTCCAACGTTTCCGTAGGTCCTGAAGTGGTTTCAAAGTCATGACTAGAGCCAGGGTGGCCTTAACAAAATTTAAAAAAACAAATCCTCAAATATGCCATATAATCTGTGCTAATAAAGCCTCAAATATGCTATTTATGTGCACTAAAAGAGACATCAAATATGTCACGTACCTAATTTGCACTAAAAAATAAAAGAGCAGCATGACTGTCGGAAACAACACTGATTAATAACAATTTTTTTAAACTTAGACATGCATTTTATTTTTCGTCGTATTCATTTTAAAAGGAAATAGGGGAAAAAATTGAAAAATATATCACACAAAAAATCAAATATTTGAAAATATATAAAATAAATACTTCAGCCTAATAAGTTCGTGATCTGCAGATACATTTCAAAGTTAGTTTCTGTAAAAATTAATCGTTCTATAGTGCACATATTTTGGAAATTGCAATTGAGAGTTTTCATTTTTATTACCATAAGGTTTTTAATGCTTTGCATTTTATATTTTTTTAGGGCTTAATTTCTTATTTAGCAATTCAGTAAATTTAATTTTGAATTCCAAGAGTGAATGAAAACCCATTTTTCCTACTTCCAATTTAAAAACCCACATATTTTGGATTTTGAACAAAACCCTTTTCAAAGAAATCTTAGAATGCGTATATTTGACAAATAGTGAAAAACTTTAAATCAAAACTGGTTATAACTAAATGTCCTTATTATATTTCGATACTTAAAAAAATAAATAAAAATTCATAAAAAATATTTAAAAAACTTTTAAATAAAAAAAACTAATTAAAAAAGTACGTAAATAAAAAAAATTAATTTGTTTTTAAATTTTATTATTAATGAAATTTAAACTTTGGCGCACTCTTAAAATAATATATACTTAAAAAAACTTCCTTAATGTAAAATAAAATTATAAAACATTTAAAGTAATTTAAAATTATTTAAAAAAATGCATAAGCATTATAAAAAGTAGTATACATAAACCAAAATTGCTTAAAACATATATAATTTTCCAGAATAAAACCAAATTACAAAAGGGTTTAAAAATATATAATAAATATATAGAAATGTAACAATATATCAAATGCAATAATATATACAACAAAACTAAGAAAACAAAGGAAAAAATTACATGAGTATTAAACAATAAAAGTAGGAAAATAGCTTAAAAAATAAATAAAAATAATAATAATACATAATAAAAAAATAATAATAATTCATATGAATATAGATAAATAAGATATCATTTATCATTGTAGAAACAAGTATTTTTGGCTTATTTTGGTTTTTCTTTTTTCTCTATAATGTTCTTGGTAACTATTTCTTTTCAGTAATTAAAAGTGTTTCAAATTTGCAATATCCTTTAAATATGCAAATTTATGCAATATTATTCAAATATGCAAAAAATATACTGAATAAAATTTGAACCGTTGTACCTCGGAGGTATTGTATTGATAGGTGTATACACTGATTTTCGAAAAACAATTGAAATCATTGGAAGGCAAACATTTTGAGAAAAGTTTTTAAATTTTACCAAAAATTTGTATTCTCGGTTTTTTGTGGTATGAAAAAGGAACGTCAACTTTGTTCTTGCTAAACAAATATTTTAACTCAATTTGAAAAACAAAAAAAAATCAGTCCACAAGACGAAATAAAATAATGAATAAACAAATAAATTTAAATTTTTACTTGTTTTGGAATAAATTAAAAAAATAAGCGGTCGGTCACTTAAGTTTTTGCGGCCTTTCCATTCTTTTACGGGGCAACGTGACCCAACTCAATTTGAATAAGGCTGATATTATTATATCAGGGTGATATGGGATTTTCCATTGTCCACACTGTTGTTGCTTTTTATGTATAACTTTTACATGAACCTTATTGAATCATATCTCGAAATTTTACACTCGTTTGGAATGTTGGCTTGACAGCACGAAACGCCATCTCTAAATAAATTAAATTACCACAAATACCACCTTAATAAATAAAGTAATAATTTCTCATTGAACGACTTAGAAAAATAGGTTGTTTGAATTTTAAGTTTCTCCCTGTTATAATTTATTACATGACCAGACTTACTATGGTCAATAGCAGTTTTACATCTTGGACATATATATGTTTAGGTATATAAATCGTGAGACCAAAGCCATTTTATTAATTAAACCTTATTCAAAATGAATAATATATTTTGGTTTATTACGATATGTCAATATGTCTGATTTTGTATCTGATCACTTAATCGAAATATACTCTTGATTGACCTTATTACCTCTGACTTTTAAATGTTATATTCAACGAAAAATAGTGTCGTGAATAGCCACGTATGTTTAACTTATTCATTAAACTTTTCTTCGGAAGGTGTAAAATTAAACATATTCAAAGAATGTGAACAAAAATTGATTGTGAATGATTTTTGAATGTTTTCGCTTTTCTTTAACATTCACCCGATGAGACTTCTTGATGTTCCTTTGAAATATAAGCACAATAACAAACACCACATCCAAAAGTAATTTCAGTGTAGAAATGTGTGGTGTTTAGTGACCGTTAGTTAATGATTATTTGGAGATAGATGCGGTCTGGTGTGATGTAGGTTTAGAAAAACTTTTCTTTACTGTGCTACGTTTCGATCTTTATTGAGATCATCTTCAGGGCTGGCCACTTGGGCACTCTCAACACAACACACAAGAATGACACATCTACAGGGGGCGTCGGTGGCCGCAAGGTTTAGTCTTTGACACGGCGCTCATCACTGTACGGTAAAGGTCCCGGGTTCGAATCCAGCGGCCCTGCATTCGAACCCGACATACTTACAAATGGGCTTTTTTTTCAAAAACACCGGCACCCTGAGGGTTTATATAACCTCTGCTGTTGCGAACCCTCGTAAAAAAAAAAAAAAAAAAAAAAAAAACATGACACATCTACACATAAAACAAACACTTTGAGCCCTGAAGACGATCTCAATAAAGATCGAAACGTTGGCACGATAAAGAAAATGTTTTTCTAAAACCTACTTCACACCAGATCCCATCTCACGATATTCAAATAATCATTAACTAACAGAAACATAACAGAAAAATGGAACATTCCATGAAGATCTTGTGTTGTCGTTTGTTAAAAGGTTTTTTTTTGTCTATAGGGGCCGACGGAGGCAGAACGAAAGATAGAGGAGCTCACGAGGCAGCTCGAAGAACAGATGGAAAAGCAGGAAGAGGAAGGGGAATATTTCGGTAAGTCGCAAAAGATGAACGTTATTTTATAAATAGTGAATGTTGAATTCTCAATGAGGCCGAAATGCCATGGGTGAAAGCTCATTTTAAAATCGAACATCGGCGTTTATTCACATCACCGACGATGAATTGCACAACACGATTAATTATTCTATGTTTGCTCTTAGGACCTGTGTTATTTTTAGGACATGCCCGAAACATTTCTTGAATAACAATCGGACTTCGATATATCGGGGTTTCGGCCCTCCTGAATGTGATTTCATATTGTCGCAGTCACGGCCGAAAAGAAAATCTTTATAAATAATTTATTTTGATATTTAATTTTAACGTAATATTGCCAATCAAAGTTACAAGGTAACTCTTAAAAAGAGATTTCTCCATGTGGTCTAGCTCCTGATGGACCTGTAATTTGGTCGCTACCGATCATTTTGGTGGCGAAATGTCGAACAGACCAATCTAGGGAGGATATACGAAAAAAATGGTCCGTAACGACCAAATTAAAGTTAAACCTTGCTCAGCTTGTCAGTTGTTGAAAATAGTATGAAAGTATGATCGTGATATTAATTTTTATTTATTTATTTTTCCTGGTGAGAGAGTGAAAATTTGGTGCTTGCCTGCGTTGTTTCATTGTTTGGTGATCATTCATGATTTGGTTCGGTAAGACCATCGAAAACAACTACTAGTGTTTCTGAAACTCGAGCTGGAAAATGTAAAAACGTAGTCATCAGTCAGTTTAAAGACTCAAAAGAAAAAGAGACATCGACGTGAAAATTATCAAATTTATGTGTATACCTGGTGATCACGTTGAACAATTGTCGCGTTTTTTTCCAATTTCCTAAAAAGAATGATATTGCTTTTCCTTCTTACAAAAAAGGGAGCCCTCACTGTATGCAAACAGAGGAACTTGACAAACAGGGAGAAAGTTTGCGGTATTGTATAAAACGATGCCAACCAAAAATAGCTACAGCATTATCATGCATATAAGAAAGAATATATGCATATTAAAAAGCAAAAGGGCGGGCCATTACAATTGTTGACACTAGGTGAACAATTGGGTTGAAACATTGTGGTAAATGTAGGGCAGAGATCCTTGCCACCTGCAATGCCAAAATGTCTTAGAACATTGTATATCGAAATATTTTTTGGCTTGTACATTGTGTTGAAATCATTTCAACAATTATGGCAAGATTAAATCTGAAAGATTAAATTACATAGGGCACAACTCAGAGGATGAATCCACTCACCACTTAGGAAAATTTTGGTTCGTTTGAAATTGTAGGTATGTTATTGCACTAATACTAACTCGGTGTGAATATTAACTTAAGCGTAAACACATCTTAATAACTTGTTTTTTATGCTTTATAGTGTTCTAATCCTTTTACACTCTTTAGATTAAAACTAAAGTAAATCCCTTCAATTTCACCCTTTACAGAGCAAACTTATTGAGTGCTAAATTAAAAAAAAAAAGAAAGAATAGATTTGAGAAAAAAGTATTTTCTTTTGTTTTAAGTCGCTCTCTCCCTTGCCGATGCGTTGGCCAAAGAGACGGTCGTAGCGTCCGTACATAGCACAAGTCCTGGTGTCACCGCGAGTTTCATTGCTCTTACCGCAGTACAGAACCGTCATTTAACGGTTTACTTGAAAAGTAGACAATCCAAACAGTTCATAATTTAAGCGTGAGCTCTAAAACAGTCATCACAATGCTTCGAGAGAATAGCCTAGTCTCTATACGTTCCGCATCAGGTTCAGACTATCGGAGAACATCGAGTAGAAAAATGAATAGCAAATCGGCTTCTGGCTTGGCCACTTGAACAATGGGGGCTGTCCATAAAGATAAAGGCCGGTTTGGTTTGTAGCAAACAGATGACCGGGACCGTATGTCGCCACAAGACGTGGAGAACGCTTTGCTTCATGTGCCATGCGTGAGTCACAGCCTTTTCAAAGTCTGGTTGGTATGAATCAACGTCTATGCTCGTACCGAACTGATTATCATTCAGAATAGAGCTGAGGTCCGATTCACTCCATTTATTGGGTACAACTACGTGTTAATGCATGACTGTAGTCGACAGCATGTAGTTCGAGTTATCGCCCATTACCTGGAGGATGTAAGGATTACAACTGATGAATTCTCCCGCACGTTTCCCTAATATGAATCCCTATAGTACACTTATGGGACATGATAAAGAGGCGTTGAACAGCAATTTCAAACTTAACTTCAGATCGTTGAAGAAAGGGTTCCTGTTTCACAAGATGAAATTATGACGTTGTTAAAAACAGAAAATTCTCTCCTTGGCCTTTTAATTGCACAGAACTAATTTGTTATATAAATGTTTAAATTAATGAGATTTCCAACTCATTCAGGCAAAGAAAACAATCGAATCAATCATAGGATTCAGTTGAACGCTGATTTTTCATTATTACGTAATAATAAAATTAAGAAAAGTAAAATTCTTTGTCGAGTTAAACGAGGCCAACGTGAATGTAGATGCTACTTGTGAACCCGGATGAGTAGGTTTCTACTCGTAAGCATCGGTGGTTCAGTGGTAGAATGCTCGCCTGCCACGCGGGCGGCCCGGGTTCGATTCCCGGCCGATGCAATTATTTTTTTTTCCCTTCTTAAGAACTTGTTTATTGTGATAATGTCACTTAATATCACATTTTAATGTTTTGACAGAGATTGTGTTATATCAAATATGTGTAAACACGTAAATGTTCGGTACATATATTAAAAAAAAAATATAAACGCATATTGTGTGCATACACTACGTGTTACACGGGCTAAAAATTGGCTACGGCGAAACTGATTTTATTTTCCATCATGTATAAAAGAAATAATACAAAAATTAATCAAAGGGCTAAAATAGCTAAGCCAAAACTTTTAAGCAAATAATTTTTATGAGGGAAACAAGCTTGGAAGTAACAAGAATGAGGCGGGTGATTTTTCACGAAAAGAGAATTTATAATTTTAAGTTCTTAATTTTTGATTAGCGTGATATCGTCGATTTCAATGAAACTTTTTGCCGTTATTAAATATTTTTGCCTTCTTTGTTATATCGCTTAGTCATAATAAAGTACATCAATATTTATGACGAGCTTTGTCTAGCTGCCAAACATAATTTTGGCATAGTGACCTAGTGAAGTACTTAGTGAAGTATGATAAAAAAAATGTGTTTTACGCAATTCCCGTGAAATATGATGAAAACGGTTTTCAGCCAAAATAATTAGACATAACTTTTTCTTTCGTTAAAAAGTAATAATAATAATAATAATCTTATAATAATCTTAATAATAATAATAATCTTTTTATAAATAAGTTATAGATCGAACAGCTTTAGTTATCCCGAACATGCTACATGATATATTAACGTTTTATTCTTTTGTGCAATGCACCATAATTTTTTTTTTCTAAAAAACAAATTTTGATATAGTTTTTTGCACCCCGAAGAACCCCTGAAATACGCATTTTTGAGAACAAATTTCCCACTACCGATTTTTCCCCCTTCGAAATACATAAAATTCATAAATAGCATAAACGTCGCCTCCGTTAATAAATAAACAGGAAATATAACATTCGTATTTTCGTTAATTTAATCCTATCTAAACGTTATTGGCATAGGCTGAAAAAAGAATAATGCAACTTTCAAATTATTGTCATACCTTTGAATTCGGATAAAATCCAAAGGGGTTATGAATTTTTGAGTGTATCAATAGGAGACCTGACAAAAAAAATTCCTCGAGCTTACCAGGTGCTTAAACGTATATAAGGATTGGTTTATTTCGAAAATAAGCAGAAAATGACATTAAAAAAATTAAATTACTTACTGTATTTTTTTTTGGCTCTTAGTCCATTGGCAAGAACGATCGGACATTTGTGTAATATTTTTCGATTTATATCAACAAAGAAAGGTTCGATTAAATTCGGTAATCCCACGTCTGTAGTATATAATTGCTTTCTATAGAGAAACCGTTATGGTTGGTGGTAAGCTGTTCAGGGAATCACATTTCCATTTTCCAATACCTTCATATGTACCAAAGAATAACCTAGTTACCTCTTTTTTAACTTGATACAATTAAACAGTCGATTTGTTGTTTAGTCTGACCTTGTGATATTGTGTACCACTAGAGTAATTTGCCGATCCGACATTGAGCCGGCCAATCAGCAAATATGCGTTCCATTTTCATTCATATTTGGAAACCTGTTAAATCATTGTTAAGAAAGATACTCAAGCAGGGGGTCACTCACAATTGGAAGGTTGAGGTTGGCCAAGTTTAATATTAAAAGGAATCTTATCAGTTTTTTCAGTATTCAGACTTGGCGATGGGTGTCGCTTTAGAATATTGTTTTAGACGAATTACATTTTAGATGAGAAGTATATAAAGTAAAGTAATTCTTGTCATACAGGTTGGCTAAAGACCAATTACCTGTTATGTATCTCTGTTATGTATCTAAAAATTGTTTTTGGAAAGGATTTACTCCTTGAAGGACATTGGTAGCCCCGTTAACCTAGAATCCCTGATTTCCGAAAAAAGAGACGATGTATATTGGTCACTATATGATTATATCACAGAGTGTGGAATAGAGGTCTGATTCGTTGGTATTTTGATGTACATGGTTTTTATCCACGCCCTCCAGTGAGGGTAAAAAAAAAAAAAAAGCATCTCCCCCCTCCTTTCGGTGGTGTTCGTGGTGCCGGGGTAGTGCGCTCCTCCTCGTTTCCCGGGTTCCGGTTTTGCGCTGCTGGTATCACCATTCCACCAATACTAGGGTCATGGGTAATGGGGACCCCCCCAAAAAAAAAAAATATATATATATAACTATAGAGTTGACCATATCATTTCTCGCAGTCCACCGGGAATTTCGGCTTTTGTAATTTACAGTAAGTACCCACATGCCTGGATTATCACCCATGGTTATTGGCAGACCTTGGACTTATCCGTCCAGCCTCCGGGGTTGTGCTCCGGGTACTCTCAACAACTACGTGAATTCAGCACCCAACGCA